CCCCCCCCCCCCCCCCCCACGGTTTCTCTCTGATTATTTTTGCAATAGGAATCAAGTGGCACGGCGCGCTTCCACATGAATGCACAGAAATATGGAACACGCGTTCACGCATTCAAAGAATCCCTTTTCGCATAAAATTAACCCACGTGTGTGTGTGTGTGTGTGTGTGTGTGTGTGTGTGTAAGGGAGGAGAGAGCTGAAGGGAGCTCAGGAGAGCAGAGCAGAAGGTGTGTTTGCATGTCAATGGGACGTGATTTGCAAAGAAAATCCAGGTTCAAGAATTCATTGAAACAGGGGCAAAAAAATAAAGCTTCAAGACTTCTTTCTTTTTCTTTTTCTTGCTCTTTCCCCCACTTTGTAATCTTATTCTTGTTTTTGCACCCACACTTCTCCGTGATGGGACCCTAACAATCCAGCGTGTGATTGCGAAGCAGAGCCGCCAGGATTGTAGTGGCTGCAAAGAACATAGTCAAGCTCGTTAGAATCGGTAAATAACATTCTCAACACAACAGCCATCCAGGGATCCTTTAATGTCGTTTTCTTAACAATTGCACACTAGGGATTTACAATCGTGATCCAACATTACACGGGAAAAATACGCAATGACTGTTTAATTATCAGAGCACATAAGAAAAGCAGGAAGCTATATTTCATTTTTCCGCCAAACACTTAATGTACTGGCATTTGGGGAAAAACTGTTTGGCTTGAGAATAAATGGGCTCTGTGATGAGATGTTTAACGACTAACAAGGGGCTCATACGCAAAATGTCAGGGCCTTTAATAAATGATCTCGCCTCCCAACGCTGGAGTTGGAATAAAGGCCGTTAAAGTCTGGCTCATTTATCAGCTTCCCAAAGAACACTGAGCTCGATGGGTTACGGCTATCAGGTTAAAATCGGCAGTATTTCAAGTCCTGTTGCACATCCACTGGCAAAAGGAGGAATATATGAGGAAAACGGTTTGATTCAATGGATATGGGTGCATGAGCTGACAAAGGTTCTTTAAAAGCTTGAGTATTGCCCACTTGAATGTTGTTTTTTGATATATATTATAATATAAGCTTGAAATCATATTCCTATTACTGCACTTGGTTTAAAAAATGTATATAATGTTGATGCCTGTGTGAAGCGGTTGTCTTTTCTTGTTTGTTTTTTGTTGTTTTTCATATTCATTTAAAAAAAATTATATTTGTGGATTTTTATATTGTGTTTACATGTGTTGCGGCACCCTTTGTGTTCAAATAGCTGTTGCTCAAAGCTTTATAACGCGGACACATCGGTGCTATTTATTAGCCTATTTATGGCATTTTCCATGTGGTACCATGAAGCTAATTTAGTTTGATGGTAAACTGACCAAGTTGTGACATTAACCAGCTTGAAAACTTTTTTTTTGTTTGCCCGCCCGCTGCTTGTTATGAAGTGAGTTGAGTTCACTGCCGCCATGGAGTGCTCATATCTCAAGACACGACTGTAATGAGAATTTATTAAAATAGGATTCATTTATAAAGCCTCTTTTTATCTGCAGTGTTTCACCCCCACTATAATTAAATATCACATTGTCGTCATGCTCATTTTCATAACATTTTGTAGGGTCACGCACACATGAAAATTCACCTAAGTTGCTGCTTGTTTTAATAATGTCAAACAATACATCGGACTGCAGAGTTGTCTTAAATTCTAAATGACACCAATTATTGTGACGTGACATTTTCTTCCCGTTTTATCTCCAAGTGTTGGTGAAGAACTGTTATTTGAATCGTAATGACAGGTCAGGACAGGAAGAACTGCTGTGTCCTCTCTATCCGGTCTACATCGTGGCCACGGGCACTGCACAAATTAGAATGACCTCACGGTCACCCAGGACAGCTGGTGTGTTCCGAGACTGCCGTGTCCAGCCAAGGACTTATCAAAGCTTTTCCTGAAGAGTAATAAATGTATTCGGGAGCGCACTAAAAGACACCGGGATGAAAATGCATTCATGTCAATAATGCGTGGTACAAGTTGCTTCTGTTGTTGTTATTGGCTTCTCGGTACGGCTTGGAGCAGGTCCTGTAAATCCCGATCACGGTTGCATTTCCACTGTGGCGGCACGTAAACGGTGTGACATCAGACCGTGCCGGGTGAGACAGCTCGGCTAATTTTTTGCCAATTAATTAGCACGTTGCGGTACAGTGCAAAGTGCTGACAGGACTTGCGAACAAGAAACACAACTTCCAAACCAAAAGACGGGAGTGTGTCTTCAGCATACACACATGCGGCATGCGGCATCCCATCAAATCAAATATACAGAAAAATAAAAACTCAAAGAGTCAACTTTGAAAACTATGTACATTTAGTTACAGTTAATTTCATTGTACATTGATACGTTTTATTTCCTGGCGATGCGAATGTCGCAGGTTTGGCGGAATGGCCCGGCAACAGTTGTGATCAGTCACCTGAATGCATCTCGCTCTCATCGTGCTGCGCTGTCAAAGAATGACCCAAATCATTGCTTCATTAATTCTTGACTGAAAAGTTGCTCCTTGTTTTTTTTTTTTTTGTGTGTTTTTTGATTTAAGTTTATAAAATGTTCTCTTGAATTGCACTAATAGCTAACAGCCGGGCCGAAAAACCATTTATCTTGAACTCCTGTGACTTATCTTGTTGTTCCATCCACTTTTCAAACTCACTGTAGCTCCGTTCCGTGATTCAAAAGTGCAATCAGAAGATGGGCTGTGGTGATTGGATTATCAAAGACCTTGATTAAAAAAAAAAAAAAAGAGAGGTGCCCATTTGGTTTGGATTTATTTATTTATTTTTGCCCCCGGTCTCGCTCGATGTATTCCCCATTGCCAATCTAATTGACCGAATAAGCCTCCGCATAATTTGCTTAAACCTTTTGGTACTTAAAGTAATGACTTGGTTCAGGTTTGCTCATCTATCCAAGTGATAAGGACTCAAGAGTCACCACGGCATTTTTTTTTCTAATTCTGCTGAGTATAGGACACTATTAAATATTTTACACAAGCAGCAATGCGCGGCACTCCCTGTTCTGTGTTTGCCCGCCATGTTCCATTCTGTGGCAAAATAACATGCCTGAGGGGGAAATTGGGGTCGAAATAGTGAGGTTAAAGGTTTCATCAAATTTAAATCCGTTGCTTCCATGTTCAGCCCTCTGAGAATGAATTAAAATGAGGTTGAGCAACTACAGGCGAAGGTGAACGTCTGCAGCATACTATTTCACCACTACTTTCATAAGATGTGGTCACAAGTGGCGAAGTTTCATAATTAACCGGTACCGTATTTTCCACACTAAAAGGCGCACTGGATTATGAGGCGCACCTTCAATGAATGGCCTATTTTGTCATTTTTTTTTCATACATTGGGCGCACCGTATTATAAGACGCAATCTACAATGCATCCACTAGATGGAGCTACACTCAAGGAAAAGCCAACAGAACAATCAGATGTCAGTAAAACGTATTTAATAAAGCAGCGACCTAGTTCACTTAACCAACAGCAAGTTGTAAAATTGACTCATTAACGTTGAACTCTCCCGCCGCTGCTCTATTTCCGTGTTCAACCGATCGTCTTAAGTTTGAACTCTGCGTTGTCGGCATGTCTCGAGCAAGGAGCCATTTTGGGGTCGAAATATTACCGTAATGACCATACACAAGGCGCATCGGATTTTAAGGCTCGCTGTGAGCTCTTAAGAAAGTGGAAGGCTTTTAGGTGCGGAAAATACGGTACTAATGCAAAATACCGGCGGAGTCAAAAATTATCACTCAGTTGCGGATGTAAAAGTACGACAAGAGTACAGGATTTCATCTCTGCGCTCTAAATGAGAATAACGTCTTTATTACTTGAAGAGATCATTGACGTGCCGACACGAAATGAATATTTTACAAATCTTGTTACGTTTGCAGCCATGGACATGCCATCAGAGTTGACTGCGCTCAACATCACGCCGCAAGGAGCCCTGCTGAGGTGGAACCCCCCAATGTCCAACGTCGACAATTACGTGCTGACTCTCACGCACGACCAGGGTAAGTTGTCCGGATGTATTCTTTTTGTATTGGCTGACGAATCACACAGAAGCTACCTCGTGGTTAGCACGTCTGCTTCGCAGTTCATGTTTTGTATATTGGCTGTGGCCTTCCTGTGTGAGGTTCCCCCGCGCCACCGCCACGTTCCGGAAATATGCACGTGAGGTTAATTGAAGATGACTCAGAGTGCGAATATCACATGACCAAATTCAGGAAACGAGTGACACGCGAGTGGTTGTTACCTGAGCCCTGAACAACTCTGATGTCATTTTAAGTCGACAGTAAGTGGCAAAATGGCCGCCCTTGGATAAAAAAAAAAAAACGGGTGCATTTTGTTGCTGAATTCATATTCCACAAATGCAATCTACATCACAATACGATGTTTTAGACTCATGTGAGCGCATCGAACATATTATTATAAAGAAACATTTTGACTTGACTTCCACGGCATCTTGAGGCTTGTCGGGTATCGCACATTTCCGACCAAGATGCCTTGAATACCAGCCAACATTGTAGTGGCCACTACCTTCAACAAATTGAAAGCTTCAAAGGACAAATTTAACGGAGCTTTCTTTAACAGGACTACTGCAATTAAGGTATGCTAACGACCTCCTTTAAGAGAACCACTCTCTCGACACCATTTAGAAAAATCTGGAATTAGAGAACCATATTCTTGACTTCCCTTGCAAATGGGAGCGCTGGAGGACGTGATTTTCTTTGTCTTTTTTTTTTCCTTCTCTTCAAGATTTCTCTCTGTTTCATCAGTCAGACACTGAGGCCAGATGCCACACAATAGGCAAACGGCCAGTTTTTTTCCCCATTAAATGTGTGACGCAGAGCCCATTTGTCTTGCCCTCACCATCCTTCATCATGCTTGCTTGAATTTCTAAGGCCGGGTGAAAACGTTGTAGTTAGCTTGCAGCGTGTTTTTTTTTTTTTTTTTTTTTTGCCATGCCGCCTGTGTCCTCACCGTCTGACAGCCTTATCCAGATAGATGAAAGATAGCCATATCGCTCGGCCTCTCAGGGTCTCGAGTTATAATTTGCTTCGTGATCCATCGAAGCAAGGCTGCCCCCTCCCCCCTTTCCCCCGCTCCAACTACTTGACATGCATAGTGTTGTCTCTTCGGCCACTGTCGGTAGTCATTAACCTTTAGCATTGAGATAATCAGGTTACTCCGTCTTGCCCACAGTCATCTTATTCTGCTGCAATCGATGATTTAAATGACTTTGATTTGAAACGCGTGGTTCTGGCCAGACAGGTATTTTCTACCGCCGTTGATCAAACCTCGAGTCAAAATTGGGTCGTCTGAGTAAATATTTGTAATACGAGCCGTTGTAATAAAATTAGTGGTCGGACTGTCAACCGTGTATCACAGAATCAACATGATGGGATTATGTAATACAGTAGATCACCTGACAGAACTGCCCATGAAGTGAAAAGTCCCTTGTGCTCAACCGTCCTTGCTGATTGTTATGAACTGGCAGAAAGCAAATATCAAGGACGGCTTCGTGTTCATTATTTCAGCTTCTTTGCCTGTCCGGATACGGCTCAGCTCTCTGAGTCAATTTTCAAACTCAAGCCCCTATGGATTCAGTGTTAGACGAATGGTCAACAAGCTTCTCCTTTGATTGGTGTATTGACTAAAGATGAGTTGAGCTCGCCATTTCAAAGGTATTCGGATTGGACTGCAGACAACCTTTATAGTTTGCACTCCCAAAGAACTGCCATTCAATCAAAGTACCCAAGGTTATCAAACCGTGGCCTTCCGAAGAAATGAAATCTAAACTGCAATGAATGCACGTATGTATTTGACACTTTTCAGTCTTTTGGTGGCATCTTCACTTTTTTTTTTTTTTTTTTTTTAAAGTAACAGCAGATACGTTTCTCGTGGAGGGCAACAAGCAGGAACACCAGCTGTCCAACCTGAAGCCGAGCACGTCCTACTCAGTGGCCCTCTATGCAACCAAAGGACCCCTCACCAGCGGCACGGTCATCTCCAATCTCCAAACACGTAAGCGAACAGATTAATGGCATTTCCATTCATTTCAGTGCAAACTTCTGCGACACGCGCACTCAGCCCATTTATCAATAATGTAGTGAAAATCAGTGGAGTAAATATTTACTTCTCAAGTTGAAGAACTGTGGCTGCCCTTAAATTTTCTACCTGTGCCCCTATGGCTACTGTGCTCCTGGTTAAAAAAAAAAAAAGTAGGCCCTGAATGTGTTTGAAAGTCTTTTTTTCATACATTTTAATGTATTTTAAGCCATACAAATTTCTCCACATTTGGAAGAGACCTGATTCCACATGAACATATCCGACTTTTTATGCTGCCATGATACGCATGCCAACTGTGCTACCTGCAAGATAGAAAAAAAAAAAAAAAGTGGAATTGTCTCCCTGTGTCAATCCATCTTAAATTGGACATGGTGAAACTCGACAACACAAACTTTGCTCCACCTTTAATTATATTCACCATTCCAGGGAGAACGAACACATTTGTGAACAATTGTTACAGTTCAGCAAAGCTGCAACTTTGCAAACTTTTTGGGAATATAAAAAAAAAAAAAGTAAGTTGAGGAGTTCTTATTCCCAGAGGAGCTTCAACGTTTCCTGTAGCAGAGATGAGACATGTCAAAGTAGTGCTGCAGAGACCTGAAAACATAAATGAGGCTAAGAAACACAACGGAGGACCATGACGGTGCTGCTTTACTTCTCCACCTTGCAACGCGAGTAAACAAACGTTGAAGGCGTTTCACATTTGGAAACGACAAGTCCTGCCTGATGTGTCACCTTCAGTCTTCTTCAGTCTTGAAAATGTAAACCTACGAATTGAATTTGGATGCTCCTCAACTTCTCTAACAGGAACGACTGTAATCCCGATTCTTCTGTTTTGCCGCAATACAAGGCGACACGAGAATCGGTTGTTTTGATGATGACGACACCAACCACTAGGGGGAGCCTCACTTCAATGCCGCATAATCAGTCCTTTTGAGTTGTTGGCATCCGGCAAGTTAATTGGATTAAAAAAAAAAACAAAAACATGAAGAATCTTCCATCCATCTGTTTTTTTATTATGCTTATTCAGTTTAGAGTCATTGCGAGCTGGAGCCTTTCTCAGCTGACTTCGAATGGTCCGCTCTGGAGCGTTCGCCCGTCAATCACACACAATAAGAATCCTAAGAAAAAAAAAAAAGCGAGGTCCATTATTTATTTGAATTACTATTTTATCTCTATAAACAAGGAAGGTGGGGGACATTAAGCGGGCCCCCATCCTGTGAAGTAATACCCCATTTCGAAAGCATGAGCAAATGATCCCATCTGCTGCCTCTTTGTCTGTTCATTCCATAAAGCATTGTTTATACTCTCTGTTAATGTTCGGGCTCAATCCTATTCCGAGCCAAACCGGCAGAACATCTGCTCACCTGCTTCCAAAAAAAAAAAAAAAAATCGAAATGAAGAAATAGCGCCTCATGGTCAATTTATGCTAATTGAAAAGAAATATTGCCCGCTCGCCTTTCAAGTCTCGTCTGTCATCTCGGCACTAAAGCTTCCACCAGACAAACCGAAAGATAAACTCGGTTCATTCTGTAGCATATGCAGTCAGAATTGGGAACTTCAGATAAGGGGGTCGGGGGGGACGATAGACTCAGAAGAGGAAGGAAATGGAGAAGATAAAGAGTGCAATGAAGAAGCAAAGCTCGCGGTGATGTGGGAATAAGCGGTGGGGAGGGAAAGGCAAAAATCAGGTGCAAGGGGGATCAAATGTGGTGGGAATGTGTGGAAGATTTGCACCTATCGCCGAAGACCGGAGCTTTTTTCTTAAATCTTCACGTGCACCTGTTTGTCTCAGTTCTCTATTTAAATGTCAAGTTTCCCGTTGTGGAACTGCCAATCAGAATTGCTGAGATGGGGACTTAAATGACTGTGTTGTCACACGAATAATAGGCGGAGAGGAGGGGGAACTGACGTCGGTCAGCGTGGGCATTGAGAAAGAAGCCTTTTACGCAGGGGTGCCTCGATATGACTTCCGAGGCCACTGGGGGGCAGTGTAGTGCGGTCATAAGGTTGTAAATTGAAGACTTTCATAAATACTGTAAGTCAGGGGTGTCAAACTTATTTTTGTCATGGGCCACATTTCAGTTGCCGTTTCCCTTGGAGGGCCGTTATGACTGAAACCAAATTTAAAAAGTCAATCATAACGGTACAATTAAATTTTGCGTTCACCAAGATTTTCCTCATGTAAGATACGCACGTGCATGCTCAATAAAAGTTGCGAAAAGCTGATCCAAAAACATATTTTCAAGTCATCTTCTTTCTATCACGCAGGAAAATGAGGTCGTAGCCGGTCACGAGCCATTGTTGGTTACCAAAACACAGGTGATGTAAAGTGGTGAAAGCGAGGCAAAATTGTGGCACTGTCACAGCGTCTTATGTAAAGCAGTGTAGGCAAAGTCGGAACGTGCCGCCATGCGCTGTGATGTAATCTGCGGTAAAACTCTGGTGGGCTTGACAATCACCCGTTTGCTTTTCAGGATGTGATGAATTTTAAGCAAATGCGGAAAGTGGTCTTGCTGCTCCGCTCTCTGTAATCCTGCGGGGGGTGTTCGTAATCGGCTAGAAATTGCTTAGGAGACTTGTATTCCTTTGTTTATGCTGGAAAATGTACTCACCTGCCAGACACATATTGTTATTGATTTGTTATTTCCGTTCTCCATTGTTCATGACAATCATCTACCGTTTTGGTTCTCAAAACTTTTACACCAAGTACCTAAGCACCAGAAAAAATAAAAAAAATAAAATAAAAAACTCTTTCAGTCTTGGTTGGTAAAATATATTGCACACAAAGGTTAAATCAAATCGTTCAACTGAACTGTACTCAGGCAGTTCAGTCCTAGTTCAGTTCCACTTGGTTCATTTTTGCAGGTTGTCGACACAACTCATCAGTGACTGCATAAGATAAGCAGAAATGTTTTGACTGCTTTGAGTCAAAGCCAAGACGGTATCCCGTTAATCCGATTAAACAAGCAAAAGTGTTGTCATGCGTGTGAAGTTTGGTGTGGCCTCATCCTTCAAATTCTTTTACAGACTTACACTTGCAGTTGAAGAAGTCTAAAAAAAGAAAAAAAAACAAACTAGAAGAGGGCCCCCGTCAGCGGTACCGCGCTAACGTCTTGTATATTTAACAAGAAGCGGCTTGGGTCAAGCTAGAGAAGGGTCAGTGTTGCGTCTCTAAATCGCAGCTCCCTGTGGAAAGAACATCCTGGAAAAAGTCTTCGGGTAACCTGGAAATTTTTTTTTTTCCTTACAGCACGTGTTTAGCCCGCTCGTCCCTTTGAAGCCTTTTGTAAGCAATTATCCGTCAATGACACAGCGATGGCTCAGTCAAACGTTACCCCGCCGTGTCTCATTTCCAGGGTATTAATTTACAGCCCGCGAGGTGACATTTGCTCGCTGCAGCTGCTCCGACTGTTTTATTGCCGCCGATGGTATCGTCTGGTGCATCTGGCGAATGAGTCGCACACGTTTTCTTCCGAACAAGGCGTGGATCAGACGGGCACCTGACCTTGAGCTTTGGAAATTTCAATTTGTATTGTCTTCTGACTTGATCTTTTTCAACCAAACCGATCACGATGTCTTCACAAGAATTGACTGTACTTCAAGCCAGGCATCACAAAGCGAAACGGCTCAAATGGTTTGTCTATTCTTGTGTTTTGGACAGCTATGGACGCCCCTCTGAACCTGACAGCCAGCGAAGTGAATCACCGCAGCGCTCTCATCTCCTGGCAACCGCCCATCTCTGAAATTGACAACTACATGCTCACCTACAAGTCAGCCGACGGCAACCGTAAAGTAAGCGTCACTCATACTTTGGTTACTTTTCCAAAAAATGTTTTGTCCTCATCTAACAAATTCCCATGGTAACAACGGAAAATGTATTTTTATTTTATTTTATTTTTTTTTAAGTCATCCATGTGGTCATCCGCTTTGGAAATGAATGACGCCTTGTGTTGGAATCAAACTGGTGTGATGAGAATTTGAAAAATGCTTGGCAGTTTGACATCAAGTGTTTTCCAATTTGAAGTGCCCTTTTCTACAAGGTCTTACACGTATTCGAAAAGTATTTTGGCTACAAATTCAATAATATCGTGGCTCCTTTGCCTCAGAGATTTTAAATTGCTATCATTAGAAGCAGTGGCTTATCTGATTAACATATACAGCGCATAATAGATTGTAATGGCCCTGCGTTTTTAAGCGCTGCCTTGGAAAGATAACTCCTCACCTTTTGGTTCACAAGGACAAGCACACGTCCGCCGGGCATTTGACCGAATGCGAAGTAAACCACACCTACAAAATCACCACTATGCTTGTAAGGCTTTATATCATCCTCGCTTTCGCCTGCAGTAAATGTCTTGTCTTGACCCTAAAAACCGGCGGTGTCCTTGGAGATGGAAGAGAGACACAATTTACCAGCTGCTTCCCTGCATAATTCACACGGACACATTGCCGGGAAAATGTGTGATATTTATTGCGTTTCAAAACACGTTAAATAATTGATTTGTGCTTCTTCATATTTGATGTGTAAAACTGTATTGCTGCATTTACATTGCCTGCTTCAAATCACACAATTCCCCCAAATGCGAATATCGTCATTTTGGAATCAGGCGTCTTCCAAATGTGGGGAAGAATCCAATCAGTCTAAATAGCACAAATAAACACAATAACAAGCTGCATCAAGACATCCAGCTCGTAAACTTGAGCACCTTCATTTGCTTTCTCGAGCGGTCATTCGGGGCAACTGTGAGTTATTATTACGAGACCGATTTCTACCATTAGAGTGTGCAGTCACCAGTTAGAGTTGTCAGTTTACAGAACAGCTTGATGTTATTTACATCATACATAAGTGTCCGTTAGTCCCCTGGTGAAAAGGAGTTGAAGAAGCCTGTTAGCTCGCAAGCTAGCTAGCGGCTAGCACCTCTCATCATGGTGTGGTCAGCCCCATAACAACTTTTTACCGGCTCAACTTCTGCATAAAAATGTTGCTAGAGGGTACTTGTTTTTCTTTTTAAACATAACTTTTCTTCTGTCGTGTCCCAGAGTTTCTTTGGCAAACATTTTTCTGTTTTGCTACTGAAGAAAAATACCTGGAAGGCTTCTCTGGACCGCTCCAATTTTAGTGTTTTGGCACAGCGTAATGGAGATGTTAAAACCAACCTACTTTTGCTTCAATGTCTATTGTAGTCTAACTCACACGTGCGAAAAACTCGTCCATGTGTTCTTCTCCGCTAGGAGCTGATTCTCGACGCAGAGGACACTTGGATTCGCCTGGAGGGGCTTCCCGAGACCACAGAGTTCACCGTCAAGCTGCAGGCGGCAAGGGGTCTCGACACCAGCGCTGTCATCTCCACTACTTTCACCACAGGTACACGCTCGCTGACATGCTAACGTACAAACACATTCATGATTTAACATGTGGTGATTTTGTGGGTCCTCCTAGGTCGCAAAAAATCAATAAAATGTATGACTGTTTGCACTATGGAGGCAAATGAAATTCGTTCCCTGGCTCAAGCGCATTATCCTAAAGCCTATTTTAACGATACAAATGGTGTTTTAAGGAACAGTCATAACTTCCATACCAGTGTGCCACCGTATTGCAATAGAGATCATTGCTACTTCACGTCACATTACACTTGATCCAGTTTTAGTACAAAGCATCTTAAGTGCAGCTTTAGGGGTGTGTGTGGTGGTGGTGGTTGGGGGGCTGTAAAATCCTTATTTCCCTCTAAGCCGATACTTATTTCCAGGTGCCATGCATGTATGCGGCAAAAGCTCCAATCCTCTCAAGTATGACATTGCTCCTCCTCCTCCTCCTCCTCTGCTCGTCTACAGGGAGTCGGTTGTTTGCGACGCCTCAAAATTGCGCCCAGCACCTGCTGAACGGCGAGACGCTGAGCGGCGTCTACACCATTTACATCAACAGGGACCCCAGCCAGGGCGTGCAGGTGTACTGTGACATGAGCACGGACGAAGGAGGCTGGATTGTAAGATGTTGCCCAGATCGGTTCCATCACACATTTACTGACAACCGAGCATGTATATATACTGTGTATGTATATGTATATATGTTGTCTGTTATCACTGTTTTGTTTTTTTTTTTTTCAGGTGTTTCAACGACGTCAGAATGGCCTGACTGATTTTTCCAGGAAATGGAGCGACTACCGGGTTGGCTTTGGAAACCTGGAGGATGAATTCTGGTTAGGTAAGGCTCTCAGGCTGAATCACAAATGGTCAAGAAACATATACTGTATTTGATCAAATACTGTAATCCCCCTCGATTTGAATGAAAAATTGATGCCTCCTTAAGAATGTTTAGGATTGGCAATATCGGTGTACCGCCACAAAAACTAGTCGACTTTCACACCACGATTGACAATTAAATAGAGTAGTCTAGTTGGCCCACATCAAAACTGAGGTAACGGTACTAGTCCTAATACGTATCATAATTTTTCAAGGATTAAGATGCATTTTTTGGGGGGCGCCTTCAGGACACGTATTTTTATGGAAAAGGAGTTATTCGTGGAAGATTAATAACAATGAAATTATCGTGATTATTGCAAATAGAAAATGTACATTCTGGCTTTGTGTAACACTAAGGCAAAACCTTTTTTTTTTAGACTTTGAGTATTTGTAATCTCACCGCCCCCACATCCTGAAAAGGAAAACCAACAAAACATCCTCAATGTTTTGATGCCCCTCCTCCCCCCACCACCACCACTCATTATGAAACAATAATCATATTCATGACTAAATGTGCAAATGAGTTACCTCAAAACGCCACATTTTTTGTGCAGTTGTTGTTTTGCTGCAGATGATTAAAGGAGATTATTACATGAATATTTCATTAAGAACTTGAGAGGAAGAAAATTTGTTTTGGTTTTTTTTTTTTTTGTTGTTGTTTTTTTTAAAGCTTCTTGATTAGATAAATTAAATACAACCACAGGGAGTTTTCTATTATATTATCACTCCACTACAATGCTCACTGCTCACTTTTTTTACATCATGATACGAAAGGGTTCAGGCAGCCGTCCGTCCATTAGTGAGAAGCACGCAGTAAGGTGTCATTTTTACATCAATCCCCAATTTTGAGCAATCTGCAATCCCTTTTATTCAGCATTACAGGCTTTTTTAAAAGAAGGTCTTAACGTTCTATCTCAAAAGGAAATGATAGCGCAACATCACTGTCTGCTGGTATGAATCAATCATTTATTTGCAGGTTATCCAGCAAAGTGGAGCTATTACTTGCCAGAGCGGTGGTGTGCTGATGTTATGTAAAAATGGCGCACAAGAAAAGAACCAAAGTGAAGCTGTCTTCTTATTAGCAAATAGTAGATGACATTTCTTTCCCAGCTGCCAACATTTTGGCCTTTTTTTTTTTTTTTTTTTTTAAATCAGGACATTAAGTGTATCTGCATTCTAACCTAAAAGCCTGCATGTCCCCTTGAGTGCACTCCAGGACTCAAGACCATTTGTAGTTCAAAGACTTACTTTGCCTGTTTTCAGCCTTCCAGCACTTCTTTCTTTTAAAAGCAGCCTAATGTCACCTCAGGATGTCGAGAGGCTCTTTGCTTCATTGTAAGCAACCGTCCCCACCCCACGCCATTAATCCGGTTCGGGCTTCTGGAAAATTGCACTCTATCATATTGTACTTTATAATAACATATAAGATAAGATAATTAAATAGAATGTAAAGAATTCAACAGTTTTTGCATCGGCTCATCGGACAATGTGCTGCTCCTTGTGGTGTGGGCCCCCGTGGCCACGTGGAGGCAGTCTCATACAGGATACACGTGGAAGAAATTAGCCTTTTATGTCTTTCAACAGACATAAGGACTCTTCACGGTTAGCCATTCTCTCACCGCTACTTCTCACGTTAAAATCACGTAAAATTCTGTTTGCCCCGTAATGCTTTCCTCCTGTTAAATAGCCCCTCATTTTCAGACAAAAGAGACAGAATTGCAAAGTCCATTGACCTTCACTACCTCTTGCGCAGATTGCCGCGGACGGCCATTTGCTGCACAGTAATCAACTCAAACGCATGCAGAACCGTGATGGTACATTATAGAACTTTAGTCACTGAAAGAAACACTTAATTGGCCCGAGGTCAAGAATATGCAGATTAAGCTTCATTGTTATGTATTGTATTTTGCAATTGGCCACCAACGAGGCTGGTCCAGTGCCGTCCCTCTTCCTTTTTGTCATATTCACAATGTAATAACCCGGAGGAACCACGCTTATTATAATTACATCCGATCTTCATTGCTTTCTCTTTAGATTCCTCGCCCTTTTTCCTTGCAAGTGTGCAATGACGATAATAAAAGGTGACAAGGTGATTTTACTGCTAATGTTATAGGAAGAGGACTCATTCGTGTGCCCAAAATGCTTTTTTAAATGGCGGCGCGCGTTTGGAATAGAGCAGAGACTCATGCAGTGAAACTATTCATGGAAGAAATTTTGATAGGCTGATAATGCAGCGATGTTATGCCATGCAAATTAACGAGCGAACGTTCTATTCCACCTTCATTACTACAACAGTTTTTTTTTTTTTCCACCCCATCTCCCTGTCACCTCAAGTGCCTTGGACTTGTACCGTAGATTAGATTTGCTTCCCGCTGACGTATTACAGCAGAATTGCACGTCCTTATCAGCCGAGGCTTTGGCGCTGTGCGATTGTATCTGCGAAAAGTCCAGTTGAGAGGCTGCTTGTAGATGGTGGCATCTTCGCTTTTTTTTTTTTTTTTTTGCAGTTGCGTAGCAGAGGCATTCTGATCTCTCAGGTCAACACGGCGCCTTATCAACCGTCACACCTAAATCCTTTCCGGAGATACCGGACTGGACAATATATTTTCAAAGGCGACGCAAGGTCTCGCATTTGGGTTTCCTTGCCAGTGTAACTCACCCAACACACCACGTAGGTTAGCAGCTGAAGAAAAAAAAAAATGTTGCGATGCATTCCAATGCGATATTGCAGTTGATCATTTGTTCCTCCGCATGTAGAGATCATTTTTTTTCAAGTGGTTGGTTGTATTGTTTACTCTCGTGTGACTTGCTCGACATAGCAGTTTTTCAAAAGTCAAACAATGTGAACGGTGGCCCCTTGCAATGTTATGTTCTTGTTGTGCAGGTTTGGACAACATCCAGCGGGTCTCCGCTCAAGGCCGCTACGAGCTGAGGATCGACATGAAGGATGGGCAGGAGTCTGTCTACGCCAATTATGATAAATTCTCCCTCGGAGATGCCAGGAACCTGTACAAGCTCAGGATAGGGGAGTACAACGGCACCGCCGGTAAGTGCTCGGATATTAGATTGACACGGGAGTGTTTGCAGACTTCCACTAAACATGCCTTCGGTGTTAGCGCAAACAAGAAAGCATTGGCACGGCAATTGCATTTATTATGTAGAACTTGATATCTACTGCGATTGGCCGGCAACCAACCGCCGCCTCCTGCTCAGGGTGTTCCGTTCAGCTTTGAAGTCCAATTTCTTTTCCGATTGAATTGTATGCATTCGAGGACGCTGTTTATTTAAAATTGTTCCACTCAACTACAATCGGCATTTCATCCTTATGAGTCTAATCCGGTCTGCCTTTATACTTCTCTTTGCCGTCAGCGCAGCGTGTTGGCATTCTATGCAGCCATGGCAACTAACATGTCACACCGCTGTCTCTCGCTTTCTCTTTCCCCCCGCCTTTTGAAACGTAGGTGACTCTCTGAGCTACCACCAGGGACGGCCCTTCTCCACTAAAGACCGAGACAACGACATAGCTGTCACTAACTGTGCCTTGTCCTACAAAGGAGCGTGGTGGTACAAGAATTGCCATCGAGCCAACCTCAACGGGAAGTACGGCGAGTCCAGACACAGTCAGGTCAGTCCAAGAGAGAAATCCATAAATAGTGCCGCGTCGTCCGCTTGAACAAAACCCATTTGGGGAAACAAAACCGAAAAACAGTATTTACTGTCATGATCTAAGTTAAGACGCTCTCGTTGACGCTGCTGTGCCCATTTGAACTCTTCCTAACCAAAAGAGCAGCACAGAGGCATGGTCAACAGTCTATCAGATGAAGTGTGGAAGCTTTGAATTCAAATCAACTTCTTTCACAATGCTGATGTGCATCCAGGTTTGCTTCGGTGGAACAAATAAGTTGCTTAGTCCAAGGTGTCGGAATTTCTATTGCTGCTCGTCAGTGTCATAAAAATAGCAAAATTGGTCAATCAATCAATCCCATTGCACCAATTTATTTCCATTCATCAGGTAGCAACTTCCTGTACGTTGATCCCTCAAAACAGGATTTGAAATGCCCCCAAAAGCCTTTTATTCGATGTTATACATTATCTTATTATTTGCGTTGTTTTCGATTGTGTCATATTTTCGATTGTGTCATATGTCTGCAATACAGTCTGTAGTTGTTCCTGTAGTTCATTTAATTGCATCAAAAATCCAAATAATACCCTGCCAGTACAGTTAATAACCAGTAGCTATGCCTTGCAATGTCCTTTCTTTCGATTGTACTTTATGGAGTGGGTCCTTTTGATGAAAGCAGGAGAAAATGTGACTTGCCGCCAAAATGGGTCGGCGATGGAAAGTGACAGATTCAATCTCTCCGGACTAGGCATCCTCCATCAAAGTGCCCTTGAGCAAGTTACCAAGTGCTTCACAGCCTTGTATGCGTGTGTGCGCGCGCGCGAGTGTGTTTTGTCCACTTAAAGAGACGGGGTCCGACGCACTTCTAATGTCTCCTCGGGGGCTAATTAGGTAAGTGAATCAGATTGAATCCCTGCGCCGGCTTCACTGATTGGCCTGCCGTTGGAGCTCTAATGAAAGGTCACACTTCCCAAGGACCGAAACTACTCCAGCAGTTGTCCGCCCATTATGAGACGTGATATTTATCGATCCAAACTGTCTGCCGCGGTCCCCCGGGGGCATTGCACGCTTGGAAATGATTGAATTCATCCTGGAGCAGGCAGGTGAATTATGTGGAGGGAAAAAGGCCACAGTTTATCACAGCGGCTCTGTGTGTGTGTGTCGGAGGCGCAGGGGGGCGGGGGGTGTAGGGCTGGGCTGGTCCTCCTTTCAAGCTACTGATATCTTTGAGCCTTGTGCCGAGGCTGCGTCATGCCAAGTGGCAAAGCCTCCAGAGCGTTCCAGCCTGCCTTGTTAGCTTTCCGGCTGTCCTTTTGAGAAACGAAGGAGCCACAAAGGACACATGGAAGCTGCAGGATGAAGATTATTAAAAGAAAGAAAAACTGTGAAACTTTCCCTCATTTTCAAAGTGTATATTTTGATGACCAGCTCACCTGTTTTCCGGGTTTGGTCATGTGGCATTTGCAAGAGGAGCACTGTGATGTCATTTTCAGTCGTCAGCTCGTGGCAGTACAAGGCAAAATGGCCGACCGCTCAGATCGATCATAACGGTGGATTTTTCTGCTGGACTCATTTACTGCCAGTGGCATATTTTTTTTTGTCGTTTAAGAATCCTAACTTTGAATCCCAGGTATGTATTCATATATTTCTTTTACTTTTTCACGTGGCAGCGTGTGAAAATGGCTGGCAGTGAACGCGTCAATTCATATTCCACAAACGCAATTTTAATCAGAATACTGTGTTGAGATTAGTGGGGTTGCACAGAACATATTATCGTACAGAGATTTTTTTTTTTTTTTTTTTGGGACCCGCCCATTAAGGACACGCTTGAGATACAATGCAAAGTGTGGATGTCTTAAAATGAAACATGACCCCGCCTCCGCAGTCCTTCCAACCTTGTCCGCCGCACGCACCTTTCTCAAAATCACTCTTGCTTGTCCTTGCAGGGAATTAACTGGTACCACTGGAAGGGACACGAGTTCTCCATTCCCTTCGTGGAGATGAAGATGCGGCCGTTCAACTTCCGCAGCATCAGCAGCAAGAGGAGGCGGTCGGCGCCCGTATAGGTTGCCTGCATGAGCGCCCTCTTAATTGAGAGGCAGAGACCGATTGAGCTCGGGCGACCGTTTTGATGATGATGCTCGTCGTTCTCAGTCGTCCTTTCCATTTTCATTTGGCAGTTGAAAGTAAAAAAAAAAAAAAAAAAAAAATGAAGATTTGATGATTCAATTTAAAGCTCCAAAAGGAATGATGAAAAATCTGTCAGTTTTTTTTTGCTGTTGTTGTAAATAACGAAAATAGTCAGGAATTCTTTTTTTTTAAATTGCTATTTGAATATGGAACGAATGAATGATATGTGAATTGACGAGGCCGCTGTGACGATAAGAAACTTTCGTTTGCCGATTTTTTTTTTTTTTTTTTTTTTAATGAAGCAGCAAGTGGTTGGCAATCTGATTCATAGCAGCGAGCATCAAAGGAAAACATTGTCCGACCTCTGTTTGTCTCCGCCTCGCATCCACGTAGAGCCGTCTTTCCCTGCTGTCCTTCCTCCCGGGAGATAAAGACACTGTATGTAATTTATTCCGCTCTTTGAATGACAATTCTTCTGCTTTCTGTAAAAAACAAAAACCCAGCAGAAACAATAGCCAGGATGCGTTATTTTAGCCACTAACAATAACACTTTTAACAACAACGCTAAAGGCCGTTACTGTAAGATATATAAATATATTTTTATAACTGACATTGTGGCAAAGGTCCGTCCGTCCTATTTGATTTGATGCCTTTTCATGATTACATTCGCGTAAAAAGGACAACGCGGGCCTCTTTGACACCGTTTATTTCCAGGTTGGCTTCTGTGCCATCAAAGAAAAATATTGGGACAAAGTTGTGCCAGCGTAATTCCACTGTTTCAGAACCAGGACGAGATTCGTGCAAAAATCCGTACGTCACCGGCATAGATAGCCGGACAAAGACACATTACTTGTCGTAAATGAAGAATCATTGGCGTGAAATTGGATCATTTCAGCGGCAAACCTTTTTAGGTGTCCTGCCTTGCCGCATTCTGTTGAAAATGTACGTGAACTTTTTCAGTTCCTGTTTTGGGAGATTTCTGTGTGAAAGGGGCTCAAGAAGACGGGAGCATTCAAGTCGGACATTCAGATTCACAAACATTCTCTCACGTCGGACTCATCCGTTGCAATATACAGTATTTGTGTTCATGATCAATATATTAATTCTTTTTTTTTCTGTGTTCATTGAACGTAATTTCCGTAGTTGTTTCATTTTTTTTTAGTTTAGTTTCAAGCAGTGTGTGTTGTATCTCGTCGTAGTGATGGTTTGAATACCAAAGATTGCGAACCATACGAAGAAATGGGAACAGATAGAAGCCAGTCCCGTCAAAAAACACAAGCATACAAATAATGGGGTTCGGTCTGCGGTTGTGCTTGCACAAATTGTTCACGTAAACCTTTAAAAAGGGACGCGTGATGCATCTTATTCACAATCAGTGTTTGATGCATACATCAAAATACCCCAAACATACCCCAATGGGATGGCCGTGAGACAACGTGGAGCACACTGAAAAAAAACCCCCATAAGGTTGGGGGGGTAGTGGGTTGATGCATACATCAAAATACCCCAAACATACCCCAGTGGGATGGCCGTGAGACAATGTGGGGCACACTGAAAAAAAAACCCCACAAGGTTGGGGGAGGTAGTGGAGGGGTTTTGCAGTCAAATTATAGAAACCAACCACCCCTCACTAACAGCCCACAAAATATTAAGTTATCCGTTGTTGTTTAATTTCACACTTAATGGGTTCCCACTATTTTTATCCGCCAAATTAAACAGTCAGTTTTGCAGAATATGTCCCCCTTTAAAGTTGCAACCTGACCTCATACTGTCAACTTCCTCCAATTTTGACGCCAGCACAGACTCAACTCAACCTCTTCATTTATCATGTACTCGTGTAGCCATGAAGATATCGCGTCTTTTAGAAGCAGACGAATGCCAAAAAAAAACCCAGATTCCCGCTCTTACTGACAACGCTGCATGCCCACTACATTGCAGTTCCACTTGTCTTTATTACGTCACGTTTGCCGATCCGGGTTCAAGTCACTTGTTTAAATAGTTGGTAGCGACATTTCCCGGGGTTCTGTTAATGCTTGTGCCATCTTGGATCGTGATCGCAGCTAGAGTAGGTCATCTTGTAGTGTTCTTCTTGCATTAACCACTTAGGCGGAGTTTGTCTCTGGGCGTCTTGAGGAACAAAAGGGAACATTGAATGTGCTTTGAAATATGAGGGATGTTATGTCAAGTCAGACTTTTTACCTTTCGGATTACTTGGGATTGACTACAAAAAGTGAATGCCGTATTTGAGAGATTAAGGTTACTCTGAAGTTCGCCGACAATCTGTTTGTAACGACCACAGTACCAATTTGTAATTCCTCGCCCATTTCAGTTCAAGAGACACTAAAGTTAACAATCTGCACATTCATGAATCTTCATTTGAAGTTTCTCGCTACTAAAACAAGGCAGTTAAAAAAAAAAAAAATACAATAAACTTTTTTTTTTTTTTTGCAATGTCAAGATAACCACTGTGGCTTCATTTCGTTTCAGGTGACTGTAAAAGTGGTTCAAAAGAAAATGTCCTCATCACTATATCAACATTCATGGTTTACTTTTGCAGGTGTACTTTTGTACTAAGTGTGACACTGTACCTTAAGCAAATTTGAAATGTCGCCATGTAAATGCAAAAGTTTGGCTCAATTTACTGCTGCCCGTTGGGTAAAAAAAAAAAAAAAATCTGATACATGCTGAAAACTTGGGATTTGTTGTTGGATACCCTTGGATATTGCTGTTAAATTTAGCTCTAGTTTGACATAAACGTGTATGATATAGTTCCTTTTATAATACATTTTCTACATATTAATAAAATATTCAAATAGTCAATTTCTTGTTTCAATTTTACTTGGAATATAAACACAAGCTTTCCACCTTGACTAAGGCCTCAGGTCCTTTTTAAGAGGCCCAAAGCATGATGCTGCCACAACCTTCAGTGCAGGTATTGTCTTTGTATTGTATTTGGTGACGAGCATTTTTTTTTTTTTTAAACAGCTTCCTGTTCAAGAAGTTTCCTGCACATGACTGAAAGACACCCATGCATGCAGCAGCTAAGTGTTTCGGTCTTATGAAATAACACCAAAGCTCTGCATTCAGCACTTTGAGACATCTTTAATCACAGTGTATTCAAATGATTCGCTAATTATGCATGCAAGTGTCAGGTCAGCAGAAACAAGATGGTGACTAATCGGCTTGCAGGGCGTTAAAAGTGAACACGCTTTATAGAAAGGTCAGAGCAGGACAGCCAAAGCAGAAGTGAAAGACTCATGTACGCACACACGCACACTGTGACGACCTCTCTTATCATTCCTCCTAAAAAAACGATTTGTCATTTCCACTTAATTCAACATCCATCCCAAACATATTACCCGCTTTTCGTCCTGTTTTTTTTTCCCCCCAATCCCTGTTGCACTTCCTCTTCGCTGAGTTTTCTTTCTCAAAGTTTTGTACACAGGCTCCCCCTAGTGGCACACAAAAGAAACACTGAATTAAATGTATGTGGATTTGATAGTGAATACCAAAGTTAAATTTCATCATTGTGCCTCTTTATCTTGAGTTGCAACCCTTGCTCAGGTTGCTCTTGCTATTCTCTTATAACTGATTTTATCAAAATCATTCGCATTTTATCATCTTTGCTCCCTCCATGGTACTTGTTTCATGAGGTGACTGTGAATAAAAGCATTCTGATGGGTTGACATGTTTGTACGCACTTCACTAAAATGGCACAAAACAAACGGCACAGTACCTTGAACATTTTCAAATGTAAAAATATGAATATTTAGGCACTTAGCCCGCTGCATAGCTAGCTAGCTTTTAGCTAGCCCGTTAGCTAGCTGCCTAGCTAGCTAGGCGTTTTATTGTGTTTTAGAAGAGAACTCTATTCATCAGTTTTTATGTGTTACTCAATGCTAAGTCCAACCCTGCGTGTGACTTGAGTCCCCCACCTCTGGCCCAAGGACGTGCTAAGTCATTTCTTTTGTTTTGTTTTTCAAATAACTGTAAAAATTATGTGTTAGAACCTAAGCCCATAATCTACAATCGGCCTCTCTAAGGAACCCTTTGCAGCAGGAAGTGGAATGAAAAACATTTATATACAGGTAGCCACAGTGCTTTTTGAATATTTAACAGATGTATGTGGAGCACAGGGCTTGTGTGTCAACTGTCTGTACTTCCAGGCGCTCAGGTCGGGGTACGCGACGAGGCCGAGGCTGATTCAAAGCGGCGTTGAGAGCTGTAGCGGATCTCCCATCAGTGAATGCCTTCACATGTGAGTAAAGATGGCGAGTGAACTCCACTGATCTGCTCAATTCCTGTTTTCACTTTGCCAACTGACATATTGGAGACACGGCAAAAGTGTGGTCACATGACACCAAAATGGGACATTTTTGGGTTCAGCTTGTTGAATGCATGGTGGAAAACAATCACTGCACATGACCCTGACACACCATCCATATCGTTGGGGGCATCGTGCTGCGGGGAATCTTTTCTTCTTCATTGTGCTTTGGATGTCTGTTACTAGTGAGTGTGCAGCTGAGGCCTCGAGGAGCAGTTTCCATCACAAGTGTGCTGCTTCCAAACAATGACCGGAAGCAACAACACAATGTTACTAACAGGCCGACAATGGGAGTCTATTTTGGTCCCTTGACGTGCTTTACAAGCTGCAGTAATGCAACCCATAGGACTAATTATTGGACTCTCGTGTGATTATTTACCTTTAACCTTGTCAAGTGTTAAAGGTACAAAAGCAGGGGGAACCCCAGTATATGACACAAAGATAGAAGAGAGTATACTCTTCGTAGCCTATTTGGCTCTTGAAAAATCCGTCAAAATGTTCAAACGAATTGCAGTCCAGGCAACTGTGCTTTGATAACGGCCACCAGTGAACGAGTTACTGAATGGACAGGCGCTCCGGAGACAAAGACTAAAAAGTCAATTTTCTGTCTATGTCCCCTTTAAATTGAACACGTAAATAGGATTAGAAGAAAATAATCATCACCATAAAACAACAAGTGTGTCGAAGATCATTGAAGGCCAATGGTAATGCTTCCTGTATTCGACCGTTCTGCTCAAAGAAATGTTTAGATTGGTTGCCTGGAAAGATTGCGGTGTCATTGTCAGTGACCATCCTCGGGGACTTCCTCTTTGTGGAACCACTTCAATAATGTCAACCCACACAGAGTTACGCTCTCCATGCAACAAAATACTGCCAACATTCCAATGACTCAGATCTTAAGCCCCTGAGGAACTTTTGCACTTTATGCAATGGCCGTTACGTCTTCTGTTACTGTTTACTAAAAGAAAGATTCTGTACACACCAACACATAGACAGTGTTGTGCATGTTCATGACCGCACACAAGGTCATGCAGTCAGTCGCCTGTGGTTTGTCCTCTGAAGATGTGTCTCGTTCCAGGAAACACCAAGCAAATGGTGTTTCTGAAAGATACTGACAAAACCACTCTCATTTCCTCTTTTAACTCATCCCCTCTCACATTAATGTTCCTTTTTGACGTTTGTATGCTTAATGATGCAACTATTAAGAAAAAAAATTCACCTGTGTCTGGGATAAAACTAAGCCAATTCAAACAAAAAAAAGAGTGTCTTTTCTCTATTCATTTCTGCACTAGACTTGACATAAAATGATAACTTTTAAATAAAAAATTATATGAAAAAAGTTACATTCAGCCTTCATTATAAGACATATTTGGTAGATTAAACTAATGTACACGCCGCTGCGGGGGGAACTGAACTGAACACAACTCTGAACAGTTATGTTAGCATTTATGCTAGTGCTAACACAACGGGGTGTGGTGTTCTGGCTGACTGGAGTTTGTCATTGCGGATCTGCGTACCTTTTGGCTCTTCTGGCCATCACTCAAAAGTGGCTGTGGATCTTCGCCAACACTAACTGATCAGCTCACGGGCGGAGAAAATCGTCGTGGTGGCGCCTACGCAAGTGAGATAAATGGAAATTGAAAAAGGGCTCGCTCAACAGAAACATTTTCACAAAAATCCAGATCAGAATGTCCTTGGTTGTTTAATTTCACACTTGACGGGTGGGCAGGCACTCCGGAGTCCTGACTATTTGTACACAAGCAATTAAAAAGGTCAATTTTGCATAATATGTTCTCTTTAATAAGACTAGCAAACAATGTGCTACTAATAATGTTGTGCATTCATGCTTCAAATAGTTACACAGCGGCCCAAGAGTTACTTAGGGATTTAAGTGGTGGATTCAGTCCCCAGTGAAGGTCCAGGTACCAAATGGGCGACCACCACCAATAACAACCCCTTCCCCGTTCAGCCCCTGACTGACGCTGCGTGTGCTTGTTCGTGGCTCGGAGGCAACGCGGCTTCATGAAAATTGATGAGACGAGCCTCATCATGTCTGCAGGAGAGTTTCAGCTATCTTGGGCATATAACGCGCACGCGCATACTACAAAAAAAAAAAATTGCACACCATGGGGTAGTATCCCAGCTGGCGTCTGCGCTCGTCACTGTCTTGTCGCCTCCAGTAAACGCTGATGAATGATCCGGAGCCATGATGGAAGTCCTTATTTACAGTAGTTTAGATGAAAATCACCAGATTGTATCTTCAGCTGGAGCTTTTTTTTTTTTTTTTTAAATATACAGTGTACAGCATGAATGTTCCTGCAGGCCTGCGTGGCTGATACTGTACACGCTGAAACATGAGGCAGCCATAACTAGGATTCTTCCATTTTGCCACAGCAGCACTGTGAGCTTGTTGTTAACGTTTCTGCCTCACAGTTTTGAGCTTCATGGTTTGTGTCTTGGCTTTGGCATGTGTGAAGTTTGCATATTCTGCCCCTATTTATTTTTTTTTTCTAATAATCATGAGCCTCAGAGAGCACAGAATGTGGTTGATTTTTCACAATTTTGAAGCCTCATTTTAATTTTTCAAATTTGACAGGATTGTTGACAAAACCGTCGTTTTTTTGGGGGGCTTAAGTGTGTGCAGATTGCTACCGACATGCTTTGCTCGTCAAACTTGGCTGTACGGTAACAAGCGCTGTGACCAGCCGAGGATGGTGAAAAATGCTGATTTCTATTGATTCCGAAGGTCCAGGGTAGGGTACATTGAGAGCGCAACACATGAGAAGCTGAAATGTTAAAATCGAACATTCACGCGCACGCACTTTGGAAATTGTGCAGCGCCGAGAAATGCGACAAAATGAAAATAATGAACAGAGAGAGGAAAAATGAATTTCAATTTCATGGAGCAAAAGAATTTTGGTTTGTGTTTCCTACACTTTTTCTAATTGAGCTCGTCCCGTGTTGACCCTTAACAATGTCGCCACTTGCTCGATTTATGCTCTTGTGCACTGGCGCTGTAGCTTGGTCGAGGCGCACACTCACTTTTTTTCAAATCCTCTTTTTAGAAAAGCTCTGCCCTGGTTACCGACACGCTTTCTCCCTCTCTTCTTTTCAAAACTTTGAATGAAAAAACCTCTTTTGCCTGACTGAGCCAGAAAGAGAATTAACTACAATGCCACAGGCGGGCCTCTCTAAGTGTGCGCGTGTGTGTGTGTACACAGAAACACGCACTGTGCATCTTTTACCTGGTAGAGCACTCAAATACTTTCGCAGCTTTCATTTCCCGTGTTTGTTCCCCATTTAGACGCGGGGTTGAGATGTGTTTGTTAACGGTGACAAAGTCTTATTGTGCTGAAAGGGAGCAACTCCAACAAGCCATTTTTTTTTTTAAATACATACGTGTCCCGTTACGTTTCCACTCGCTGGCTCGTCCCTGACTCAGTGCGACGTCACCCCGTTGCTCATGTGCGAGTACAGTAAAAGCCGGCCCAAGAATCCATGCAGGAAACACACAAGCAAGAACAGACAGAGGGCCCATTCTTACAAAAAGTGGGCAGGGTGCGGTGGTGACGTTGTGACTATAACACACACATGCAAACACACACACACACACACGCTTGGAAGCCAGGAGGAGGAGGATATTGTTAGAGGTTGAGGGGATGGGGCTAGAAGAGCAAACAGGAACAGAAAGTGAAGCCTTGTCATGATGTTTGTGTGCGTGTGTGTGAGGGTGACAAAAAGAAGCACACAAGCCAATGCTAAACAGAGACACAACACGTTTGATTGAGCTGACGAGGAGGAGGCCTGACCTAAGTTAAGGTAATGTCACTTTGAATGAGTTGCTGTGGATGTTGCGTGTGCTGAAAAGTTGGGAGAGTTTGACCGTGGTTCATATTTTTTTTTCTACCCTCAGATGACAATTAAAAATGTTACATATTTGTGGATTGTCTTGGTGCAAGCAGCCTGGATTCAGTTCAGCCTCGGTGACGGATGTTGTGAATGGAGAATAGAAATGACTGTGCCTGTGACTGACCGGCGACCAATCCGGTAGTCTGCCTTTCGCCCGATGTCTACTCGGCCAGACTGTAGCTCACCTGCGACCTGCTTGTCTGCTGCATTCAGTCGATTTGCTCGCTTGAAAGTGGCTCTGGATCTTCACCCAGCCCCGCTACCCGGGCATGGGCTGAGGAACTTTGAATGGGGGTGGCTATAATACGGTGTATATCAATACATCTTTTCAGTCACTGGAATTTAACCCCCACCACCCCCCCAAACAAAATCTTCAACATTTCTTCTTCTGTCTCGAAACCAACCTAGGATTTTCGTGCTAGTGGTTAGCGTGTCTGCTTTCCCAGCTTGGACGTTTCTGTGTGGAGTTTGCATGGTTTTTGTGCGGGGTGTTTCGGCTGCAGGCCTGTTTGAATAAGGAAATAGCTAATAGGCCATTGTGATTTTCTAGGAATGTTGTTGAAGTGTTTGAAAATATAACAATGTCAGAGATGAATAGAGCTAAAGTGTTGCATATTGATATTTGTTTCTTAATCATTGTGAAAAATAACCAACATGATGGTTTCCCCCCCCCCCTCCCCATCAATGAATATCGTTATTATGAATAATTTTCAGAAGTGTGTATCAAACACTTCACATTGATCAGAACCCAAGAAGTAGCTGTCGGTTTCAACAAGGTTGGTGTCTAAAGTGCGCATAGCTGTGAATGAGCGCATTAATGGCTGTTTGTGTAAATGTGTCCTAGTACGTCTTCACACACAAACATTTGAGCTTTCGCCTTCTGATAAAATCCCCAAACAAAACAACAACAAAACATTTTTGAAAAGCGGTATAAGTTGCAGAGTGCGAACTGCGCTCGAGGCCACTCATTAAAGATTCCTGTCATGCCTTCTGTCGCCGCTTCTGCTCTTTTGGATCACGCGTGCGCCCTCCAAAAAGCAGCCCCCTGATGCAATCATCACATTTTTCTCAGCCCCTTCCTGCTTTTGTGAGGCGCATCAATTGGCTTTTCCTGCACTAAAGAATCCTCCAGCGGAGCACAATGTCACAAGAAAGTCAAGTGGACTCCTGGAATGTCATAAGAGCCATTGGGATATTTTTCTCTTGTTCCTTTTCATTTGTATCAATGAAGTCGAAGTCATAAAATATTTCTTTTGTAATTTTTTGGGGGTCCTGCTTTTGTGAGGCGCATCAATTGGCTTTTCCTGCACTAAAGAATCCTCCAGCGGAGCACAATGTCACAAGAAAGTCAAGTGGACTCCTGGAATGTCATAAGAGCCATTGGGATATTTTTCTCTTGTTCTTTTTCATTTGTATTATTGAAGTAGAAGTCATAAAATATTTCTTTTGTAATTTTTTTTTTTTTTTTGGTTTTATTCCATTTTTGTTTTTCCACGGAGCAGCGTTGATCCGCGATGCTCCTTCATCATTTCCTTTTTTGAGAAAAAAAAACGAGGGTGGGGGGGGGGGGGTGTGAAGGCAGAGCGCCGCGTTAGCTCGCCCGCGCGTCAAGCTCTTCGGCTGTGATGCCAAACGTGTTTGCGGTCTTGGCGCAGGTGCCTCTGCCCTCGCTCTCTGCCAGCAAACGTGAGATGAAAAAAAAGCTCCGCTCCTTTTCTCAGGCGCTTTTTGTGAGGAAAGGAGCTGTGTGGGTGTGAGCCGCGCAGTTCTCAAAGACGCGAGGTTCACCAAAAGTCTTGAGACACTCTCTAGGATTGGTGCTCGGATACAATAAAAGCAAGGACGGTTTGGAGTACCTTATGGATGAGCTAAAGGGAGTATTTCAGTAGATGTGAGGTACTTAGGTCACTTTTAGGGATCACTTCGATAGATTTAAATGTGATTCGGTAACTTTTATGGAATATTACATATACCAGTATTTTAAGTGTATTTAGTTAACTTTTAGTTCAGTAGATTTTTTGGGGGGAGGGGGTGTATTTCGTAGATTTTAAGACTATTTAGCTAGCTTACGGTATTTCAGAGAATTTAGGGGACATTTCAGTCGATTTGAGAGTATTAAGGTAACTTTTCAGGGCTATTTAAGTTGATTTAGGAGTGTTGTGGTAACTTTTAAGGAGTAGTTAAGTAGATGTCAAGTATTTAGATCACTTTTTGGGGTATTTTGCAGATTTTTAGTGTATTTAGACACCTTAGGGAGTATTTCGTTGATTTTCAGTGTACTTATGTCATTTAGGCAGTATTTTGTTGAGTTTAAGAGTATTTAGGTAGCTTTTAAGGTTTAGTAGACTTACGTGTAGTTACTGTAGGTAACTGAGATTATTTAATGGATTTTTAAGAGCATTTTGGTAACAGTTATCGATGGTGAATTGATTGTAAGAGTATTTAGTTTGTGGAATTTATAGGCAATTACAAATTCCTTTTGCGCGGTGAGGAAGTTACCTAGCAAATAGCGAGGGAACACTGGACAGAGGATAGCAGACAGAATACAGAAATGTATCAATCATCATCTAATCATCTAATTTTTTTGTTTGTTTGTTTTCTTTTGCTCCACAGAAACTGCAACTTCGACAGTCATCACAGTTTGACCTTGAAATTTTATTTTCTGCCATTTTTGGGCTTGAATTGTGCATTGTCTGGTCCATCCACTTGAAGGAAGTAAAAATGAAACTCCAAAGAAGTGCTGCGTTGGCCGCCCGATGAAGAATAACGAAAGTCACAATGGAAATTCGCCTTCCTCGAAGCCACTGAAAGTATGAAGTAAACTTAAGAACTTTTCGTCGTGAAGCTATGGAAGGGACAGCAGACAGCATCCGCAACTTCTTCAACCATCTCTGGACTTTCGTGATGGACAAACACCACCAAGGCGTCTACAACACCGTGTGCCTCGTGGTCCTACTCACGCTGCCTCTGGTCGTCCTCGTCACCACGCTTGCAGTATGTTGCCACTGTTGCTGCTATCGCCATGCCAACGGCTGCTGCTGCTGCTGCTGCTGTGGAAGGGGAGGAGATGCCGGCAAGTCGGAATTAAATAAGAAGAAGAAGAAAAACTCGGCCAATAATGATGACTTGTGGATATCGGTGAAGACAGGGCAGATGATGCCCGACCTGGTGGCCCTGCCGATGGAGTAGAAAGTCCTTTTTATTGTTTGGAAGCCTTTCAGTGGACAGCAAAAAAGGCAGACAAAACTCATGAGATGTAAAAGCAGTGTTGAAAGTAGTGAGATTTTGTACTAGCCATGTAGTATGTGGAGCTCTATGTTTATATTGTTTGCGGTACAGACATTCATAAGCCCGGCAGACAACGCAGATGCAGTTCGGCATCGCATATTTGCCTTTTGGCTGTTTTTTTTTTTTTTTTGGGGTATTTTTTTACCCTTTCCTGTTATTTGCTGGAAAACTTGCTGTTTTTGTGCTCAGCCCTGAGCAGCAAAAGCGCGTCTTTGCTCTTGGTGCCACGGAGCAATGTTGAAGTGGGTTGAGGAGCTCCATGTAGTGCTTTGCTGTCATCTTGCGGGATCCGTGGGCAATTATAAAGCTTTTTAGGCACATGTAATTTACTCACAGATGTTTCTTATTCACGGCACTGTTAGGTCCCTCTGCCTCATGAATAGCGGGGCTGCAAAAGTTCCTCAAGCTCCCTGGTGAAATGTGTTGTGTCTGTATTCAGGAGGGCACTGCAGTTTTCAAGGCCGGTTGTAACCCTGTCTACTTGTCACAAGCTATATATGATGGCTCACTTTTAAACGTTAAAAAAAAAAAAAAAAAGAAGAAAAAAAACCCCATACCTCTTGCTCTTGATTTTTCACTTATGAATTCAAGGCATGCATTTGCTACTGTCGTTGCTAGTTTGTGTCTCGGACTGCTTTGTTGCTCAGGTATGTCCCGTGGGGCATTTGCAGCAATACCTGTCAAGCTGTCACACTTTGAAAGAATCATATTTCACTGAAATCAGTTTTACTCAACTGCATGCAAGGGAGCAACTGTATACCACGCCCTATACTGTAGCAATGGAGATAATGACAACATGATGGCAGATGATGGGGCCTGAGTATTGCGCCTCAAGCTTGACCCAAAAAGACACAAACACTCCAGTGCGTCCATTTCACTGACAACTTCACTGAGCAATCAAGCGTGTGCCACTCCAAATTTGGGGATGATTTCACATTTACTAAAGCTAAAGTGCAATGTGCATATTGCAAAGCACAACTGGCTTGAGTTACATCACCGCACAGCTACGGTACGGTTGTTTAGACGGTTAACAGCCAGCCAAGTCTGCAATATCATTTGCTAACTTTCATGTCACCCAACAGGCCAGGCCCACCTTTGAAAGGCACGCATACAGTATATTCAACGTCACAAATACGACAATGCATAACATGATGATGGCAGCCAAAATGTACAAAAACAACACCTGCACCACACATAGATATATTTTAGTATTATCAATATGAAGCGTTAAAATCATGTCACTCTTATTTTGGGGGAAAAAAAAAAAACATTGAGAACACTCCTAAAATGATTGAAGCCATGAAAGCTGATTTCTACAGCAGCTGTGTGCATAATAAACTCATATGATAACGAAACTATATTATGTGAGCCTAAGCAAAATGAATACAAGTCTGCCTTCCATTCAGTGTTGGAAGAATAAGTCCAGTGATTGTGACATGGACGTCTTAAGTGGCTACTTTGGATGAGAGGCCCCTGCAGTAAAAAAAAAAAAAAAAAAAAAATGAAAGAAAATCAGCATGCTGTTCCGTCTTATGCATGTCGAAAAAGGTAAACAAAGCCAAATGATTTTTTAGAAGGGGAGGGGGGCTTCAAATGAGCTGTGCCACAGGGCTTGTATTTGTGACGTCTCAAAGCGCAATTAGGTGCGAGCATCTCTGCGGGGTTGCGCAATTAGCATACGCTGGCATCGGGCTTACAAGAGCTGCTGGGATAAACAAAGAAAGAGGCCCTTTCATGATGGCACTGAAATACACAAGGCCCATGTGATGACGGTTTCGTTTGTGCTGTGGGAAAGCTGCCACTTGTTTTGTGGCCTTAGGAGGAAAGAATGTTCTTCATTATTGTTATTATTATTATTATTATTATTAAAGTATTTCAATATACATATACAAATCCCCTTTTCACACTCTAGGTGAAATGAGGGCATTTTGGGTGGGCAGATGTCTCTCCTGAAAATGTAGTTAGTTTTTGAGTTGTGACTTAATGAGCAACATCAAGGAACAGATTCACCTCATATCTCAAGGCACCACTGAACAGTATTTGGGGTTTTTCAATAAATGTTATCGTATTGTTCTCTAATGCATAAAAATTCTGAGGTACCTGTTTTCCTTTAACTGCGAAAAAGCAGCATCTCTCTGTTTTTTTTTTTTTTTACTTCTTCCTCCACTCAAGTGAATTTATATCATCCTCCACATAATGATAACGAAGCATTTCAGTCAGTGCATCATAATGTAGTTGCAAATTGAAAATTAAAACCGACTTCTTGTATTCAGTAAGGACATGCTATTGTTCAGAAACTCAGGCGCTTCCCTTTTTTTCTTTTTTTTTCTCGGCACACAGAGATACCATGATCAAGGCCGAGTGTGCTGTACACACTTTGCAAGGAAATAAAGTGTGTTTTTACCTTTCATTGTTTCGTATTCCTTTTCTGTTAGAAATGGGCAGACTTTATGAACATACAAATGCAGCCGCATACATGGGGGTGGGGTGGCGGGGGGGGATTTCTTTGCAAATGTGTGAACTGCTCAGGGGACAAAAGTTACATTTTGTTCTTGCAGCTTGCTGACTGCATTCACTGTGAGAAACACAGTAAGACGGTATGTATATATCTGTATATATAAATGTGCGCGCACACACACGCGCACACACACACACACACACACACAATAAACAGCTGCAAGTCTGTTTTTTTTTTCTTTCTTAATTTTTTTTTTTTTTGAAAGAATGGTTGAATAACTGCTTGTTGTGCCCTCTGCCTGATCTGCTCTTTCCATCAAGTGGTCTACGAGTTAAACAAAGTCTCCCTTATTAGACCCCCGAACGCTGTCATGGAAAAAATAGCTCAGGCTGAGCCCACGCGTATGTGTCAACCTGACTGACTCGGGCAGACACTCATTTGCCACATTAGCTCTCGTGTGCATGTGCGTGTGCGTGCGTGTGTGTGTGTGTGTGTGTGTGTGGGGGGGGGGCTTTTTTTTTTTCAAGATGTCAGACTTTTCGTTTTTTTCGCCCCTTTATGTTTACTCTGGCTCCAAAGTAAGCAGAGCAATGGCGGGATCCAATCTCTTCTCGTCATTTGTAAGTGAGTGCGTGGGTGGAAAGTCATTTCATTTTCAAGACGTCCTTTCTTGGAAATGTCAGCTGGAACAGTGACTTGGATGAATTCACAGTGAGACTTTAGTCATCAATGTGGAGCATAATCAGTGATGTCACAGATGCTCTAATTTCAAAACAAATGTTAAATGAGTAATAACACTGATCATCATTCTAAAGTATCACCATTAAAGGCAAAACTGTGGAAAAGAGTGTGGGGGATATTGATTATGAAAAAGAAAGTCAACATTTTGTTGACCTATTTTTAATTCCTGTGTGGAGCTTGTATGCTGTTGTGGCTTTTCTCCGGGTACTGCAACTCATTCCCACAATCCAAACTCACTGAAGACTCTCGTGTGTTCTGAGGAAGTGTTCTTAGGTATTAAGATTAGTATGAATGCTTAATTGTTTGTCTACCCTGTAATTGAGTGGCGACTAGTCCAGGTTGTGTCCCGCTGCTCGACCCAAGTCAGCGTAGCTATTGTACAGTCTTCTAAAATGACTTCCTGTTTGCAGTGCCCGATGATGTCTGAATTGGTTGCGTTTTTTGGAGGGATTGAAATGTGTCATGACCTTATCATAAAAATAGCTCTGGTTCAGACAGCGCCTCAGCTTCATTTAAATTCTTGGGAAACGTGGGAAACTATTTTGAAAGAGCAGAACACGAGCAGTTCCTGTAAGTTGCTCAACATTCTTATGAGGAAACGTGAGTCATCACTTGATGGGAGCCTCTTCCTGTTGTGGTAGTTGTTGTAATTAGTCCGTTTTTTTTCTTTTTCTTGTATGTTGTAGTAGTAGTCTCCTTATTTCAATATTTCGTCATCAGTGTTCCATCCTTTGAATTTGTTGGTTTCTGATGTGATGACTTTCCCCTTCTGCCAGTCTATGATGCGATTGTTTCTTCTGCACTGATCTGTTATGGCAGATTGTTTTGTTTGTTTTCTTGTTCCGCTTTTTGTTCTTCTGTTCTGGTGTAACGTCCTGTTGTTTGTGTTTCGCATTCTGTTTGATGTTCTGTTTTTTCAGGGCCTGAATATATATTTGATGTTTTCTCATGCCGCGTTGAATGGGCTCTGTGATTCCCTTGACATATGGAGGTGTTATTGAGTCGTTTTCACGGTTTGTTACTTGTTTTTGGTTTTCTTACTTTTTTTTTGTAATGTTGGTTTTGTCTGGCTTGCAGTTTTCTTTTGCTGATGGCCCATTCGGGATATCGGCAGAGAGTAAGAGCATTTTGGATGTGCTTTTCCTCTTCCTGTCTGTCCTTGTTGTCACGTTCGTCCGCTTGTATAGTGTTCCGAGTTTGCGTGCTGTGGAATGTTCGAACGTCCAAACCAGGCGATTGTTCGTATGTGTGGGTTTCCTTTACAACATCATCCCCCGGATACACTGTATGGAACCGCAAAAATACATAAAACACATATGCCACTCCACCCAATAGTAGACAGCATCGCATCACCTACATACAATCTGTCCAAAGCTCCGGTAGAAATCTTCAACCCCCTCCATGGACAATCAAAACATCATTGCAAGAATTCACAGGCAAAAGAACTCCAAAACACTACCGTAAAAAAAAAAAACAAAAAAAAAAAAAAACGGATGAAATACTCATATCACACAACCATTGTCTGGGAAAATAGAAACCTTAAACTAATTTATCCTACTGAGGTTTTTGGAATGTTGATTATGTGCCTTGGCTCAATGAGGATGGAGAAACGCAAATGCGACTTTCTTCTGACCTACCCACCACACTGACAGACAGACCTTGAAACAAATTCAACCAAAACGTTTTCTTTATAAGAAGACCTCTGTGATTTTTGCATCTTTGATGCAAAAAGCGTGTCCACCGATGTGAATTCCACATGGAGGCAGGTGAGAATTCAGTAGGAAATCATACAAAGAAAAACCAAAAATCAGCATAATCACCACATTGGGTTGGTACTGCAAAATCGGGTGCATACTTTTTGTGCACACCGCCTCTCAGCAAGCCATCAGGGATGGTCTCCAGCCTACCAAGGACAAGCACTTAAGGAAATGGATCCATGTATTATGCAATGTTTTTTTTAACTGCTTAAACTGTCCTACTGATTATTTTTGCATCATATCCTTCTAAATTCTCATGAGAGCAGGCCGACTCTGAATACGTCAAAGTTAAGTATGGGTCTCATTGGCCACTGCTCTTCTTCTCCTGGTGATGGACGGCATTCCGTTGGCTCTTCTCTCTGGCCATCAACGATCGCCTCTTCCTGCTGGAGTACGCTCCCGCCGGCCGAATCTTCATCTCGGTGAAGTCCAGGGACACCAGGTGGCCTTTCCACGGCTCCCAGTTGACCCCCTACAAGCGGGAATGGAAAGCGTTGATGTCAACAGAAGGCGGGCCATGAAAACAATTGTGGAAGCTCTACTTTTGAAGGTAAATTTTTTTTTTTTAACGTTAGATTTTAGCACAGGAGGGATGTGAATTTTTTTATATTATTCCTTTATTAGTTTTATGTTAGGCAGCCCATGGTCCAGTGGTTAGCGTGTCGACCTCACAGTGCAGAGGTGCCGGGTTCGATTCCAGCTCTGGTTATTCCCGTGCCTGCGTGGGTTTTCTCCGGGTACTCCGGTTTCCTCCCACATTCCAAAAACATGCATGGCAGGCTAATTGAACATTCAAAACTAAAACTTGGTTTTAGGGTAGTGTAAATGTTGGTGCACGAGGGTGAACTAAACTGGATGGATGGTGATCCCAGTGTAAACTACCTTGACAGATGACGAAGTTAACGAGGCGTATCTCCGATGACTCACCATACTGTGCCTGTTGTCTCCCCATTTGCCGTTGAGGTTGGCCAGATGACAGTTTTTGTACCACCAAGCCCCGCGGTGTGTGAGGGCGCAGTTGCCGAGGGCGATGTCATTATCGGAGTCGATCGTCGTCCAGGGCCGACCTTGGTGATAGGTCATTGCATCACCTAGGGAACGACAAGGACAGACGCGATTGATCTACTGTGAGTAAGTACTTCTGAACCTCACTCGGTCATCACGTTTTGCTTGCCCACTGGATGAATATCGACATCAGCGGTGCAATGTTGCTTTAGGACATTGTGGCATTACACAATAAGCTGATAAATGTCCAACTTCGAACACTGACAAAAACCTGAGAAGACTTCCTGATAGAGAAATAGCAGCATCCTTTAGAATGGTGCAAAACGTTTCCTCAAAATTCTCACAAAACATCAAAGACCCTATTTTCTTGCCCGGTGCACATCTTGCGCAAATTGTGGTCAAACTGTGCGCATGGGGGGGGGGCGTTTGCTTTCTCTCATTGTTTTCCTAGTTGGCGCCGTTGTGGGAGTGAACACACCCGACTTGCTTCCCAGCCAAATCATTCCCTTCAAAATCAGTGTGCTAGTGTCAAACAGTCCTTGACATTGCAAAAGTAGAAATACATTCGTCCCGAGTCCATGCGGAAGATCAAAGCCCGCAAAGTACATTTAGAAGGAACGGCAGAATTGCACGGGTGGATGATGTAAAGTTGGCCAGGTTGTTAACACATCATTCACCTCGGATCGCCCATCCGTGAGCCTCATCCATCAGATAGTTGTGCCGCAATAAAATGCTGTTACTTCAAAGTGTCACTTTCAATACTTTATCCTTTGATGACATTTATAACTCAAGTGCACCTGCTGTCCCTCTGTAGTGGCCAATGGTGAGCGCAAACTTCTGCCTGGCATTGGCGATCTTGAAGTTGTCGTAGATGGCGTAGGCCCTCTCTGAGCCCAGGCCTAAATCGAACCTCACCTCATACTGGATGGGCGTGTTGGTCATCTGGTATATCTTATCCAACCCTGAAATGAACCCGCAAAACAAAACACACAAACAATTGCTAAGTCTGTCTGACTTTACGTACTGTGTTTTGCAAGACATACACGAAAACATATTCCCACCTATCCAAAACTCGTCTGTCATGTTGCCGAAACCGGCAATGTACGTCCTCCAGCGTTTCATAAAGTCCAGTTTGCCAGTGGTGCGACGCTGCAGGACCTGAAAGAGCACCGCTTTTGAGATATCACATACACATTCACAGAATATGCCACACTTACAAATACATTAGTTTGGCTGTCTTATTTTATTGTTTTTATTTTATTTATTTATTTATTTATTTATTTTACTGAACCACAAACAACATGTCGCCAATGTACCAGCCAGCCGCCTCCATCAGTATCCATGTCGCAGTATGCGTCAATTGGTTTGGAGCTGTCATTGTTGATATAGACGGTGTAGACGCCGCTCTTTTTGATGCCATTTTTCATGATCTGAAGACAATCCACGGGGAAGGGGTATGAGAGGCCATCTACGGAATTTGATCAAGATAGGTCAAAAACATTCAACGTATTACCCCAAGCTTGCATGATGACGGATGCAGACCTGTTTTGAAGATGGTTTCCACCACTTGACTCCTCTTGCTTCCTCTATAGGCGATGATGCTAACTATGTATCTTTTCGCAATCTGGAGGCTGGAGACGATAAAGCTGCTCTCTCTGGCTCCAAGCTGCTTCTCAACAGCCTGACATGCAACACAGCAAATTACTGTACTTTGTAGTTTGCATGACTTTTACAGTGAAATACTGGATACCCATCCTTTGGGAGCCACCATTTAACACCTGGTGAGCATGTCCGGGTCTGGCTGGGAATGAATCTGACATACGTGACTTTGGGGAAATGGGAAGGACCGGAAAATATACACACCTTCATCCGGAAGAAAATAAAAACCCAAAGGTGTTTAATGGGATTCAGATCCGGGTTCTGTGCAGGTTTTCCCCACAACAAATGTATTCCATACCTTTTATATGTATATGCAAATGCAGGAAATATAGCCACATGGCATTTTTTGCATGCTGACAACCAAAAGCACATTGCCGTGTTTTCAATTCAAGATTGAGGTTTTCTTCACCCGTGACATGATTAGCAAGGCTGGGGGAGGATTCAGAGCCACTTTCAAGCAATGGCCGGAGTCCAGTATTTGTGGTTGGTGATGTGTCGATTCATCACGTACACACAGTGAACTGTTGACTCGCCACTGGCCCAGCAATATGTGGGGCACAAATCTTGCTCCTTGGGGTATTTTCATGACATCATATCACAGTTATGTTATTAAACGCCTGGGAAATGGGATAGGTCGTAAACAAAATGTATAATATGTCCCATTTATTGTTCAGGAGAAAAAAGGGGGTCTATATCAACTTCTGGTTGACTAATTGATTGATTCACAATGTGACTCGAGCCCAAACATGTCAAAAATCTGCACATCATGACCACAAGAGGGCAGCCTTTTACAGAACTTGAATCTAAAAATTGTCCAAACAAGGCATTCCCAGTAGAAATAAATCAAATCAAAACTTGAATACATTTAGACACGATGCTGCATTAGTTGTAATATTTCAATAAAACCATAAACAAATGTTCCTTCATGCTGTTACATTTGAGGATATTCACAGTGCCTCAGAGAGCCTCCTTGTATAGTCGCCGGTTTAAATAATTTGAGTGTTAAATGTTTAGTATTGTATGAGTGCATGTTCAACTCACTTCCAGGTTGCCATCCTCATCTCTGTAGGTTAAGATGTAGCCCTCAATGTCAGCCAAAGGAGCGGCCCAGGTCAACCGAGCTGACTCCGTGGTGACATCCAAAGCCTGCAAGTCCTTTGGAGCGTCAATGTCTGTCAGTTGGATCACAGCAAACGACAAGTGAATGCTCATTCATGCCGGTAAGGAAGACTGGAGTTAATTCGTTTGCATTTTGGGGTCTGTAAAGCTTGAAATTACAAATGATGATCGTCCCTCTGGTGTGCAAGTTCAGTCGACAGCATTATTATTATATATATATATTTTTTGTATTCCTTGACTTGATGCTCAGAACCAATTATCTGAATTTGTAGTTTTCTTTCTCTCCGTGCAAATCAGCCGGCAATTAGTCTGTCCTGTTTGAAAATAATCACTGAGCTAATTTGGCGCAAGTAATCATAGTATGGCGCGTGAGCATCATTGAACATTGTACATCCATCCAAATTTTCTAGAGTGCTTGTCGTCATTCGGGTCAGCCCGAGGTCATCCCAGATGACGTTGGGTGAGAGGCGGAGACGAATCACACTTGCAATCACAGCTATGGACAATTTAGAGTATTCGGTGAGCTAAACGTGCATGTTTTCGAAATGTCGGAGGAAGTACAAGTACGGAGAGAACGTACGAGTCTCCTTTTCATGGCAGCTGTGCAAAATGATCATCAAACTTTCATGTCATGCTCTGCCCACATTGGCTGGCGCAGGGGAAAAGGTTTCACCGTTTAATTTATTATCGTCCATCTGTCTCGGATACCGGCTTCCAATTTGGGGCCCGTTTGGGCAAATTCTCTAGTCTGAGTTTGTTTAAGTATAAGCCCTGGAATCTACCCAAAGTAGGTCCTTCAAACCAAAATGGCTGACTTCCTATTCAAGTTGAGGTGTGGGTAATTAAAGCCTTTTCCGTACATCCTGTTATGATAGACGTGGCCAACGAATTTTGCAAAAGTTAATTTAACCGCTGTCAATGGCAAACATTTTTCTTACTTCTCGGATAAGTAAGGCATTTTTTTGTTTTGTTTTTTATGGGGTGGTGTGGGGACTTATTTGAGAGCCATAAAGTAAATACACACACTTGTAAAAATCAGTCGCGTGGTACATGCTTGGCCACTAATAAATATAAATAACCCCCCACAAAATGTCATAAACGACACATCAAATAGACAGGTTATCCTTTGCGATAAAATTAATTGCCGTTTTTTAGGCACTCTTAAATGAATTATGTTCTTGCGTGATCAGTGATGGCTTACGGGTTGAAATGAGATACGTTGATAGTCCAAGCCTGAGGCCCCACATTTGGTGACTAAAAAAAAGGCCTCGCGGTGGTCTGAACTTTCCACTTGACACATGTGTTTTGCACAAAGATACGTTTGTTTTAAGCCATCCGCCATGTGCCACTGCAGCTGACCCATACTGAATTACAGAAGGTACGGTGTCTAAATTCCGGGAAGCCTGCCCTGCCAAAATGAAGGATTGTGCTACTTCCTAAAGATTTCACTAACAAAATGTTAACCGTGAAAGTCGTGTGTACGGTGTTTTCACCCCGAGGAAGTACACGTGGAATGTTTGACGGAAGAAAAGTGGTTTTCAGCTATCCATTAAATGTGCTACAGAGACCTATTTGTGTTCGTGACTATTTGAGGTGGTCAATTAGACCTTTGACTTTAGCTATCTGTGCGGTCGAGAGTGGCACTTTTGACTTGATCGGAATTTGATTGGAATTACCAAAACAACCCGAACATTTTCTTAAGTAGAAAATAGTCGCGTCGTATCAAACCTGTCTCTGCTTGCACTGAGATCTTCCTGCTGCTTCTGTCTCCTTTGACGGCCCAGATGTAGACAGTGTAGACGACACCGGGCCTCAAACCACTCAGACTGTGAGAATCACTCCTGGGATCAACACGGATTTCCCCACTGGAGCCCTCTGAAGAGCTGTAGGTGAGGACGTAGCCATCGATTTCTGCTTGGACGCCATCCCAGGACACCCTAAAGCCGGTGTCGGTTTGGTCTCGGGCTAAAGGGTTAGCAGGATCATCCAGCTCTATAGGAAGATGTTAGTCGATGCAGTTAACGCTACCGATGCACTGCAATTAGTCAAAAATCATCAGAAATAGTAACTAAAGTAGGAGCAATTGACCTTTGCCAAGCTAATATGGTCTCACCCAGTGAAAAGAAGACTTTCAAAGGTGGTTAGATGTATTTTACCCTTAAAAATAAAAACATGTTGGTTGTAGAAAACGCGTGTTGTAGAAACAGCTTTGAACACCTGTCTCGGCTTGTGTCGAGATCTTCCTGCTGGCTTTGCTTCCTTTGATGGCCCAGATGTAGACAGTGTACACCACACCGGGCCTCAAGCCCGTCAGGCTGTAGGAATTGATGTCTGGTCCCAAAGAGATTTCCCCACTAGAGCCCTCCGAGTAGGCGTACGTGAGGACGTAGCCATCGATTTCCGCCTGGACACCATCCCACGACACCCTGAAGCTGCTCTCGGTCTCATCATGGGATAAGAGGTTAGCGGGAGCATCCAGTTCTAGATGTAAATGTGAGTAGACAAGCTTTAGTCATACACTAAATTAGTCCGAGGTTATGTGGAGAATAGAGATGTTAAGAAGTAAGTCATATTGAAGACCTGTCGCTGCTTGTGGAGAGACCTTTCGGCTGGCTTGATTTCCCTTGACGGCCCAAATGCGGACTGTATAAGTGACTCCAGGCTTCAAGCCATTTATTGTGTAGGTGCTACTATGGGGCCCAAGCGGGATTTCCTCGCTCTGGCCATCAGGAGAAAGGTACATTAGTACGTAGCCATCAATTTCCGCCTGGGCGCCCTCCCATGACACTCTGAAGCTGCTCTCGGTCTCATCATGGGCGAAGATGTTGGCAGGACCATCCAGTTCTAGAGGGGAATGTTAGTAGACAAGCTTACTCATGGCTCACTCAATGGTGGAAGGTTACTTATGTTGAGGTGTGAAAAGGTAAGTTATATTGAAGACCTGTCGCTGCTTGAGTTGAGACCTTTCGGCTGGCTTGATTTCCCTTGACGGCCCAAATGCGGACTGTATAGGTGACTCCAGGCTTCAAGCCACGTATTGTGTAGGTGCTACTATGGGGCCCAAGCGGGATTTCCTCGCTCTGGCCATCAGGAGAAAGGTACATTAGCACGTAGCCATCAATTTCTGCCTGGGCGCCCTCCCATGACACTCTGAAGCTGCTCTCGGTCTCATCATGGGCAAAGATGTTGGCAGGACCATCCAGTTCTAGAGGGGAATATTAGTAGACAAATTTATTCATGGCTCACTCACTGGTGGAAGGCTATTTATGATGATGTGTGAAGAGGTAAATCATGTTGAAGACCTGTCTCTGCTTGCGATGAGACCTTTCTGCTGGCTTTGTTTCCCCTGACAGCCCAGATGTGGACTGTATAGACGACCCCGGGCCTCAGGCCATTTATTGTGTAAGAAGTGCTGTCAGGTCCAATTGGGATTTCCTCGCTTGAGCCATCAGGAGAACGGTACGTTAGCTTGTAGCCGTCGATTTCTGCCTGGACACTCTCCCATGACACTCTGAGGCTGCTCTCTGTTTCTTCCCGGGCCACGAGGTTAGTGGGAGCATCCATCTCTAGATAGAGCGGGTGGGTTCAGGTTAGGGAGCAAAAAGCAAAGAGACATGAAACACGTTGATGGGTCCTCCGGAAATACACATTCCTGCGAGGTCTCCAGTCAAATTGTGCTAAGTTGCCATTCTGAATAAAAGGTTCATGTAATATGGGTTAAGTGTACTGTGCAGTGAGGTCCTTAAAATTTTCGGAAAAGTCAGATCGCACAAGCACACCCAGTTAATCAAATTCGGCCATGTATCCTTCTCTGAATGATACTTTGGGAGTTCTTAGGATTTCAAGTTTACCTGTCTCGACCATCGTGAAACTCTTCCTGCTGACTTTATCACCCCTGAAGGCCCAGATGTCAATCGTGTAGACCGCGCCAGGTGTCAGGCCAACCAGCCGGTATGAAGTCATGTCACGTCCAAGAGGGATCTCGCCGCTGGAGCCCCCATCCGAGGTGTACGTCAACATATAGCCTTCGATCTGGGCCTGGACCGGGTCCCAAGAAACTGTTGCGGTATCTTCTGTTACCTGAGTGGCGATCAGGTTTGTTGGCGCGTCAATGTCTGAAGAGGTAGAGGTGAGAAGAATGTTAAAATGATGCAGATCATTTCAAAACCGATTTGCCTTTTGAAGAAACAAAAATACAAATGACCACGTACCACGTCGGAGTTTCGGGAAAAATGAACATTGTGGTATGACCGACAAAGAACAACGGTGGTGAAATTTAGATGCGCATTTGTGAGAGATCAGGAAATGATTACGGAATCCCCCCCAATTAACCCTTTCATGCGCCCTGTAACCTGATGACATAAGTGGTCCACTGTAGTAACGATTGTCCCTGAAAGGTTTCAATTATGGACCCAACTAAACAACAAAACAGAAGCAGTAAAAGGTGCATGTTACATTCGATTTTCCAAAAGTGTGTATTATCAAGTACATTTATTGATTTCAGATATCTTTTGATCTTTGGCGGTCATAAAAATCTGAACATTCCTTTATAGGGGCGTCATTGATCATTCTCCACTTTCACTTTTTGACAACAGGGGCTAATGAAAACATCATATACAGTCCATTCCTTTTTGGTTTGATCGGGGGTACCATAAATCAATCGGTCCTTCAGTCTTTGGCAGGGGCCATGAATTATATTTGGACAAGTGGAATTTTCGATCACTTTCATGTCCTGCAACAGGAAGTAGGAAGTCAGCCAACCGAGCGAACTGGATTGCAGTCAATAAGTAAGATAAAATTAATGCAGTGTAAGAGCAGATATCTCTTCAAACTAAATCACTGTCAGCTTTTGTCGACGACGAGAGATCACACGGAAATGAAATGGAGTGGTTCCATTTCCAACGCTGACTCAGTGATGCTATTGTGGTTTTATTGGCCAACTTCCGTTTCGGCAGCGAGGATTCAATCCCCACGGCGGGAATGTGAGTGAAAATGGTCTTGTCTCTTTCTGGCCTGTGATTGATGGGTGACAAGTCCAGTTTAGTGAGCTGAGCTCCCAGCGACTCTGAACAGGGTAGGCAGCATACAAAATGGATGGATGGCCTTTCAAACACCCCAAAAGCCAAGTAGTTTCTACTCTACTTTCTACTTAAAATGTCGAAAAAAAAATCTTAGCTCATGCTGAACAAGAACGCTAACAAGTAGTTTCTACTCTACTTTCTACTTAAAATGTCAAAAAAAAAAATCTTAGTTCATGCTGAACAAGAACGCTATCCAAACCTAAGCGATGTCCTTAAACACAATGATAGCGCAGAGGTCCTCTGTGCGTAACAACCGTGCAGGTCGCGGAGTATCCCAGGGAGACGCGTGAGCCATGCGCGATGACAGGCGTCAGGGTGCGTTGAGGGAAGATGGATGACGGAGGATTGTAAAAAGGAGGGCGCGGTACGAGCACCCAGCAGAGACGGGAGACGAGGGGAAATGTAAAAGCGATCATCATTAGGGATTGTTCCTTTGTGGTGCAGTTCAAGGGTAGTCTGGTGTCACGGTGTGGTCGGTTTGATGAAGACTGATCGATGATCCGTGCAGGAGAAGAAAGAATCTGTCCATCTGTTAAACTTGACTCCATTGCCTTGTTTCTGTTCTCACGCGCAAACTGCTTTACTCTTTTTTTGGGTTTGCCGCTTGATGGTCTGAAACATCACATCACAGCCTAAAGCTAATTTTCAACTCATCTTTTCCAACGGGTAAAACGTTAATTTGGCTCCAGGAATCCCCATCAAGCGGTAAATTTTAGTTTACTTTAAATGCCACTGCTACAAATCCAAATCCATTGTGGTAAACGTGCATTTATTAAAGGGCAAAGACACGATCTGCAGATAAGATTGAATTTATCCATCTTAACCAGGGACTGACATTTGACTATGTAGCATAATTCAAATGTATGAATTAATCAGCTAATTATTACTGAAGCCTGACCAATATTTTTGGATCTGATGCCATGACTGATACTGGGAGCTAAAAAAAAAAGCCAACGTCAGATGAAATTGGCTATTATCCAATGCATAGCAGATATAACCAACTATACATGAAATAAGGACATTTACAAACACGAGCTATATACTGTGGACATGAACGCAGTTTCTTATAATACCCAGTACTTTTTTCACTCGGGAATTTCAGCTTCCTCCCATATTCTAAAAATATGCATGCGAGGTTCATCGAAGACTCCAAATGATCCTTAGGTGTGAACGCGACTGTGAATAGTTCTTTTGTCTTTGTGTGCTCAGTCCTGGCCGCGACTGTGAATAGTTCTTTTGTCTTTGTGTGCTCTGTGATTGGCTGGCGACCAGGCCTGGACTGTACCCGGTCTCGTGCCCAAATTCTGCTGGCAAAGATAACAGCTCAGCCACAATGCCAATGAGGACAAACGCTACTGAAAATGAATGTATTGATGGCGGTGAGATAGACTTTTTTTTTTGTGAGCCGATAAGATTGAGGGGGGGAAAAAAGCAAGTCAAGCGAAAAGGAATTAAAAGTAGCAGATGCAACATTATTTCTACAAATCGAACAAACCCACATTGATATTGCAACTGAAGCAAAACCAAATGCGCATAATGTGTTACAGACATGTCTGACCAGAGCGAGGAAGAAAGAGGAATTCTGTGGGTCATTGGATGTTATTCTTCAATCCACCCTTGCACCTTTTGGCTTGTGATTTTCCTGCCGAGGACCACGTAATACAACCTCTGACTGATAAGCCTGATCGACAGACTATACCCCACGGGACCATATAAGGTGTCGCCCATAATACCAGGACTCAACATGTTTTGCTTGCTTCACCACGTCCATCTGCTTCAGGTTATATGGGCCTTGCTGGTGAATTCATTGAATGTAAACAAGGAGCAGCTGCAGCGGTAAGCCTTGTTATATTTTCGAGCACGTTAGCCACTTGGACATGTTCGCTCCAAGTGGCTTTGATTCGATTCATTTCCTGAAAATTGGCAAACCTGAGATGATTTGTCATAAGGACACACACCACTCTCGAATGGTCACCATACTGGTTGAATAAGATAAATGTTCTCAGTTTTCCAGCAGTTGCTTTGCAGGGCTCATTTGCTAGTTTTCGACTGTTTACATATTTTTACACAGTAGCAAATATTCCCAACTTGGGGTTTCATAAACTTTTAGGGGGTGAGGGGTGGATATGGATTTTCTCAATGTGTTGTCTGCAATAAATACGCGGATTTTACCGTTACTGTCGGGCGCAAATCCCAGAAATTAACATGACAACAGTACGGGAGGGATAATAGTGATTTTACATCGACGACGTTAGCCACTTGGACATGTTCGCTCCAAGTGGCTTTGATTCGATTCATTTCCTGAAAATTGGCAAACCTGAGATGATTTGTCATAAGGACACACACCACTCTCGAATGGTCACCATACTGGTTGAATAAGATAAATGTTCTCAGTTTTCCAGCAGTTGCTTTGCAGGGCTCATTTGCTAGTTTTCGACTGTTTACATATTTTTACACAGTAGCAAATATTCCCAACTTGGGGTTTCATAAACTTTTAGGGGGTGAGGGGTGGATATGGATTTTCTCAATGTGTTGTCTGCAATAAATACGCGGATTTTACCGTTACTGTCGGGCGGAAATCGCAGAAATTAACATGATAACAGGACGGGAGGGATAATAGTGATTTTACATCGACAAGGATTCCGCCTGACAGCAAGATATACAAAGTTGGCAACTGATTGCTGCACAATATGGTCAAAAGTATAGGGCCTGCCTTAGTATGTCATTTCTCGTTGTGTTAGGATTTATTGGAAGCTATCAAGTTCTGCCCAGATCTTTTGACATCAATATCTGCATCTGCATATCTGTGTACATATTTCCACGAAGCACTTCCTCCCTATTTGGTAACAAGCATTGAGAAATAATAGGCGCCAGTGATGCACTGATGAGACCAGAACATCTCCAATGGCAATCATTGCCAATTTTCTTCACTTGTCACCAAACGCCTTTTTCACAAACCACCTCAAGTAAAAGCCTTGCAGCCGCTAATGACGGAAGGAGCTGCTGTCTGTCTGATGTAGATCAGATATTTCCCACATATATTCCTAATCATCACATGACCAGGTGATGAGAGGAAAAATTAGTAGGTAGCTTCAAAATAAGAGACGTGATAACTAAAAAGCATTAAATTGGCTGGCTCAGATGGACGCATGACTGGACAAACCTCCCATCAAGCATCAGCGAGCATCTTGTAGTCGTTACACCAATCATATCACGTTTCCCCTCCGTGACCGCACTTACCATTTAGAAGCGGCCCGCATTATGAGGTTGTAAATTCCAGCGCGATACGTCATGAACCCATAATTGCAGCTCGCGCTGGCGGGGCGGGGCGGTACTCCTTAATCGTTCTGTTATCATTGGCTGCGCGTGGAGGAGGGTTGCATCGTATGTCATCTTGTGCAACAAGATTCTGGTTTTCCTATTAATTCCTGGGCTGTTAGCTTTTACCGGGTACAGTCGGGAGCACCCCAATTAAAAAGCACAAATCGCCAGGAGAGGTTCATCGGGTATCTCCAATTCACAGATGGCTAGAAAAAAAAATGCAGGTCGAACACTGACCTGTGGAACCTGTGACCGAGGAAGAGTTCCCCTCCATCGGTCCTTTAACGGCCTGCACTGCAATCAAGTATTCTGTTCCCGGAAACAGACCTGCAGGAAAAATTTGATGACTTCTCGTCAGCACACTTTCACGTAAAGTTTGGCGAAAGAATATCTGTGGACACGAACCCACGATGGTGTGTTTGGTTCGCGCCTCTTGGCTTCTTTGTACATTCAGCTCCGCCTCCTGTCCTGATGGGTCGGTATGCGTGAGCCTGAAGTGATCCACCTCGGCTTGTGGGTTGCTCCAGTCCACCTGGATTGAGACGTCTGTCCGGTCAAGAACTTGGATATCGTTGATTGCTGAGACACCTAGAAAGTGACAAAATGAAATTTAAACTGGAGATTGATGATCAAGAGCCTCCACTCTTACTAATGTAAGACCTGGAGCACAATCATTCACAATGGAGGAGTCACTAATGCAGTATCCCAGTGTTCTGAGCTCTAGGTTCCAAGATGTACCGTGATGTGCCACAGAGGGAGATCTCCACTTTGTATCTACGACGCGCAACAGGTGCAAATTCAAGTGTAATGACACTGTGTCAAACTCGGGGTCTGTGGGCCAGGACCCGACCCACCACGTCATTTTACATGGCCCGGCAAAGCTTGCTCCGGATTTTCCTTAGCCATTGTTCAAAACTAGCAACAAAATGATAAGAACCAATCCAGGGGCAATAATGGGATGCAATTTTGGGGGAACTGTTCCACCCCTAGCGATTAAATTTATGAGGTTATACCCCCCGCACCTTCCCCCATGACTACAATTTGGCTCCTGATGAAAAGTTTAACACCTCTGCCTTAAATGGTGTCTGACGTAGGTCGTCTGAAGTTTGCAACCAGCGAAAAGTCTGCCTCCAGCTGGCTTCCAGTCTCTGCGCAGTCAGAAGCCAGATGATGGCGTGTTACCATTAACAGCGTGCTCAATGTCAGGTTTTCGTGACACCAGTAACCACACATGAAGAAATCCAACACGATACGCTCTGGCTGTCTCGTGCTAATCCTGTCACGCAATCTCCTTCGGCACACATCCGTGTCCTGCCACATCAGTGAGGAGGTCCGATTCAGATTAAACACATCCGTGGAGCTATTTCCGAGCAATTACCTTTCAAATTCGACGATTAACAAACCGGATCCTAATGAAACACTTTCTGGTTGTTTGAGCTTTCGGACCGAGATAAAGGGCGCAAGTTGAGAGGCACTGAGTTTCCATGCAGACGCATCTAATACTGTAAACAGAAACCCATCAAACCTCTTGACAGTGTGGACATTTTGTAGTCCACTAATCAAAATCTCAGAGGTGTTTGTAATATGTTAGACCAAAGATCAGATTAGATCACTGGGGTTTTTCAGAATGGCTCTGGGTTGTTTCAGAATCTGTCGCAGTCTCACCTGTGGTAGCTTCAATTTCCTCTGCTCCACTTTGGATGCCTCTGATCACAGCGCGGACTTCAACAAAGTAGCTAAGCCCAGAAGTCAGGCCTGTGATGAGATAGGAGTTATCCATTTTGGGAACCCGAACCTAAGAGGCAAATTGTTGAAACAAAAATGAGAGTGAAGTCAGTGTACTTGCTGTCTACGTGCTGCTTTTTAATTTCATCTGCAGTTCAAGCGACACACGAGACATTGTTTGCTCTCAAGTGGCACCATTGGGGTATGCAACATGACAGCGTGAGCAGAAACAAATGCAGGAATTCCAATATCTGCAAAATGGAATCAGGCCTCTTTCAAATGTGGATGAAAAATTGGCTATACATCGCATATAACCCTTCAATGTGAAACCATCAACATACACCAAACTGTGAAATATATTCACTAACTTCTGCCCAAAAAAAACACTCATAAAGGAAATACGAAAAATGAAAATATTACCTGCTTCAAGGCACTCCCCTGACCTCGGGGATGATACGTTAAAACATAATAGTCAGCTCCGGAAACTGGCAACCACTGGACCAGGAGGGAGACGTCAGTTGACTGGACCAACCTTAGGCCTTGAGGACTAAGCACTGAAAAATACAGAAATATGTGCATTATATTCAGCATATTAGGTATTTGTAAAGAAGAACGCTGAAGGATATTTCACTTGATGTTCTGTTGGGTATCTTATATAACGTTAGCATTATGTTAGCATTAGCGCCAAGGCTGCTATTTCGTTTTTAGATGTTGTCCAACTGTTCGGAATGAGACCAATGAATGATGATGACATGCTGTCCATAATAGTTACTTTTTATTTTATTTTCAGACGCTGTCCTCAGCGATCTGGAGATGGGGAGGACAATGATTGGCTTCCGTCTTACGAACGCAAAGCTCTTCATCCGAGGTGATGGAACAACTGATGTCAAGAGGGTGAATCAGAAGGTATGTAACTACAGCGGTGAACCGTAACAACACAGCGGCCAAGACGCGGCAGACGGCCAGTCGGCAGCATCGATACTGCTTGGCTTTCCGCGAATGAGGCAACCTCTGTGGTGGATTTATAGTCGATGAATATTTAAATTTAAATAAATAAGGCTTTGCATGCAGAAACCTGAGATTTTTTTTTCTTTACAAAAGGAAAATATCTGTGCTGTATAGACAGGAACAGTACCACACAATTTTCAGCAGCTTTCGCCCTTTAGCGGCTTATGGTTACTCGCTGAGACACATACATCAGCAATCTTTGTCCTCAGATAACCTTTTCTGAATAGCTTTGAAATGAAAAATGCATAAAAATGGAGACGATTGTATTAAATGAAAATATCCTGGTCAGTCTGCCGTCGGGGAGCACAAAAACAGTCTGGTTAACTCACAGCCACGGAGTGTCTTTATGTCCATTGTATGAAATAAATATCATATCTGTTCATGACGGTATGAATTTGTAGTTCCTATAATAGTATATGTGCTTTTGAGCTATTCCCTATATTTTTTTTAATTTCCATGTTCAAAAAAAATGATGCAGTCTTATATACTGTACTGTATGTTGTTTAAACTGCATCACACACAGGTTCCCTTAAGACTTCATTCGAGCAATGCTAGATTTGTTTTTTTTTAAATCGTTCACTCCCAAAGACGTTTTTAAACGTCTTTTCAGACTTGGTCCAGAATTGGCTGGTACTGAATGGTTAATTTGTTTTTTGTAACTGTGAATGTGTGGAGGTGGGGTCAGAGGGGACATAACAAGGGGTTCTCAGACAGGGCGACATTCAAGCTAAGACAGCCACTCTTTTATCTTGAAATTGATATAGCTGAAACTCATGCTACTGTTAAGCGTGAAGGAGACGTGCTCTGCAGCCGAGAAAACATTTGTGGATGAAGATAAGAGAAGAATATATCTCAAGAAAAGTGCCACGAAATGCATACACGAGTGGTGTTTATGAATATCACTTGAAATCATGTTGGGTTTTTTTTTTCCCCCTGCAAAAAGCAACACTTTGAAGGGAAATTACCTGCCAGCGCGCAGCACCTTTATCTCGGGGATCTGTTTGGAAACTGACGCAAGCTGAAAGAGAGAATTAAACTTGCCGCATGCTGTATACCGACGAGCAGCTGCTTCCCTTTCTGTTCGTGTCGACTTAAATTGCAACCGTATGCAATTTCCACTCCACTCCTGAGGCAGTAGGAATTTTGTGAACCGCACATTTAGAAACTAAGGTGCTGCTCAATTGAGGTTGACTTTTTTTTTTTTTTGCTCCTTCCTTCCTTCCTTCCTTCCTGTTGTACTTGGTGACCGAATGTCACGAGACATTTGAAGGCCAAAGTTTATATAGTGACTGTCTGAATGCTACAAGGGCCCCCCACCCATCATCTGCTATCTTAAATAAATATTGGGCAGATTCTTTGAATACCAAATAAGTCGGTCTAACCGTCTAACAATGAGTAGACAGGTGTGAAGCAACCATATTTTGACTTCATGATGCTTCTGGAGGCACATCAAGCGAATGCACGTCTGCAAACATATTAGCATGTGGCCAGTTTTAGCGTGTTGACTGATATTTTCGCTGAACCGTTATCGTGTAGGCAACTCTGGTGCACGCTGGGTGGCAAAACCACAGAGACATTGACCTTAAATATTATGACACGTCAACAATTTAAAGGTGTGATTGTCCCTCAACATACAGACGAGGATTATTTTAGTTCCACCCACCCCCATCATTTCCAGCAGGAAGCCCCCACTTTGGTCAAGGCTAAGGGCGTGGGTCTTATGGTTACTGTATCGACACGAACGGAAAACTGAAGGTGGTCCCTTTTAGTGGGGTAAGCACTTTCTTCCCCAGGAAAACACAATGTTATGATTGGACTAGACTATTTTCAATCTAAATGAGCAACTCGGCATCTGCATGATCTTTGTGTGCGGATGAAAGACGTGGCGAGTCCCACTTAGACCGACACATTCTTCATAGTAGATGTGTGCTTCAAATGATACATTCTGCTGATTCGTTACTTGTGTGCAAGTTGTTACTTCGTAATTTTCCCTGGATAAGAGAAATCGGTGGTAGTCAGAACATAAAACTACCCCCCCAAACTAGCTTACCTAATGAGCAGTCCTCCCCGCGAAAGCCCTGGTCACAGACGCACTGGCCATCGAAGCAAAGGCCATTCCGATTACAGTCATTGCGACACTTCTGGACACTGCAGTCGTCGCCGGTGAAGTGCGGGAAGCACACGCATTTCCCATCCACACAGCGGCCCTTGTCGTTGCAGTCGTTGGGGCACATCAGCACGCTGCAATCGTCTCCCGTGTAGCCCTGATGGCAGATGCACTTGCGATCCACGCAGCGCCCGTTGTCGTTGCACTCGTCCGGGCAGGAGGATAAGGAGCAGTCTGGGCCTTCCCATCCTGTGTAACACAGGCAGCTGCATGTGTCCTGCTGGTAGGTTCCGTGGCCGCTGCAGCTTGTGTCCACACCTGTGCAACCAATAGGAAGTGTACAGTCAAGTCCTGCCTCGCGGTTCGCTTTCTCCTATTCATGTTGTGACTGGGGCAGCCCGGTGGACCAGCGCGTCGACCCCACAGTGCAGAGGTCGTGGGTTCGATCCTGGCTCCGGGCTCCCTGTGTGGTGTTCTCCCCGGGCCTGCGTGGGTTTTCTCCGGGTACTCCGGTTTCCTCCCACATTCCAAAAACATGCGTGGCAGGCTGATTGAACACTCCAAATTGTGTGTTCAAAAAGTGTGAGCGCGGATGGTTGTTCGTCTCTGCGTGCCCTGCGATTGGCTGGCAACCGGTTCAGGGTGTCCCCCGCCTACTGCCCGAAGACAGCTGGGATAGGCTCCAGCACGCCCCGCGACCCTTGAGAGGAAAAGCGGATCAGATAATGGTGGATGAATGTTGTGACTGTGCTTTGAGCCTTGAAGTTGCGAGAGTGTCACCTTTATTTGGTCTCATGTCTCTCAGTATTTAAAATGGGAGTTGCTCAGTGGCATCTTTGTCAGAACGTCAAAGTTTCTTCCACGCCTTCTGCGTTCAGCCCTGCTCTCTTTTGTTACTTTGTATTCGTGTATGGAAAGACTCTTTACTTTTCCGCTCCCATTTGCTGTCTGCTTCGGGTTCGATGACTTCCAGTTGCAGTGTTGCACGTTTAACGTAAACTACTTTTGTGAGTGTGTCTTCGTGTGGACACACATTTCATCAAACAATTCCGTGTTTCGGAGAATTTTTTTTTTAAACGAATGAATCGGTTTTGAACCTTCGTACCTGCCGCACGTCCGTTGCCGCAGCATCCCTGAGCACACTGGCTCTTCAGGTAGTTGACTTCCTCTTCCAAGCCATTGACTCTGTACAGGAGCGACTTAAATGTCTCCGACTCCCCGCAGTCGCATTTGGGCGACTGCAACCTGATGTTGTGCTTGAAGATGATGTCGTTCTCTCCCATCTTTGTGCTCTCCATCTGCAGACCTACAACACAGGGACGAATATCAATTCATAGAGCATGCTTCAGTGATTATTTTGTCATTTCTTTCAATGAGTTCAATGTTTCTTCTGACCGTTTTCATCCTGGTTTGGCAGACGCTCCAGTTTGCAACCGGACGCCCCCGGAACGTCAACGTTAAAGACGTGGCTGAAGGTAAGCTCTTGCTCAGGGACTGAGGAATCCAATTTGGTCGCAAAGCTGCAGTGCGACATGGTGCACAGGAAGGCCATCAGGGCCCTCCATTGGGGTTTAGTGGCCATGTCTGAAGAGAAAAAAATTAGAAACAAAATCCAGGATTCAAAAAGTTATCTACTGAATTGTAACCACATGAGTTCATTTCCAAGCCAAAAGTACTTCTTAATCTAAAGCCCGTCACCATGAATGAACTATTGCAGGGCCACTCATTTGTATAATTAAAGGACTAAATCAGCAATTTGGCATGAAGTGTGCTCAAATCCTAATCACGCACCCATGGCGATGCTAAATTAAAACAGAAACAAGCCCGGAATGAATTTGGAGAGTACTCCCATCTGTTTGTGACTGTGATTATCTTTTTACATCTTTGGCGTGAACTTTGTATCATATTTTAGGAGAACGGCAGATGTTTGGCGTCACAGCTGACTGGACCAAACGGCACAAGTTGCCAGGTTGAAAAGGGGTCAAATTTAAATATCCTTGGCACTCGTTCACAGAGAACAGAAGCGCCGTCGACAATGACTTGTTCTGTATTTAGGAGTGATGCGGTTTATTTATTTGAATGAAACTAAACCCCTTCTGTCACGCCGTGTGGTTCGGTGTTGTGTGATGTTGTCTTTCTGGAAGCAAAAAAAAGCCTTGGAACCAAACCGGCCGCACCATTCACGTTGCCCAGTCAAACATATAGACCTCCACTTACTGCTGTACGGAACTTTGGCCCGTGCCATGATGTCATTGCGTTTAGCCAAAGTGACGTCATGTGCACTGAAATCCCTGCTGCGGCTTCCCCCAAGAGTCCAAATTACAAACTCTCAAAAAGCAGTGTCACTTCGTCTTTTTTTTTTTCTTTCGTTCTCTTAGGTCTGAATTTAACTTTGTGTCACAGACATGAGGGAATGTACCGAGTTTGTGTGGGCCACTGCTGCAAACTTTAACATTGATGACTGAGGGCTTAGTTCGACTTGATTCAGCCTGTCTGTGATGTTTTCACTTATGCCCGCCGATGTAGCCCAACAGCAGATGGTCACTGCTGTCTATGCAACATCTCATACATAAAATGTCATTTCATTTGTTCATTTATTAGTGCAGTTTAAGTTCAGCCATCCAGTGGAGTATTTATTTTTGCCGAATCTAAAAATAAGACAAGAATATTGACAGATCGCTTTCTGTGAAGGTATTGAGCAGAAAGTGCAAAAACAGACGGTGAAGAAATGTTTCCCAAGTAAATCCCTTCCAAATAAGCCCACTGGGCCCGTTGTGAGCGTTGGCCCCGTGTACTGAAATGTCATCACAGTGGTCGGTAAACGTGCGGATTTTTCCCCCCTGACACTTTAATGAAACCATTATCAGATTAACGGCAATTCTCAGTATGGATTACCATGAGAAGACTTGACCCCTTGAGTGCTGCGAAAGGATCTTTTTTTTTAATGTAGCCAATGCGGAAAATGTAGATTTTGTTGGATAATCGTGGGACTGACGAGTGACTCAGTTTGTTGTCATTCAGATGCCCTAAAACTTTAGCAATTTGGAAAATCAAGCAGTTTTTCGAGATACAAGCAGTCGTTCATCATATTTTTTATTTTTTTTGCTTACGAGTGTAAATTTGAGATAAGAGTGCTGCATGGTAGCAACAAACTCAACTCACAAACATCAATGTTGTGGTGGTATAACCCCTGAAACTAAGGATTGAGCACGAACGGTACAACACTATATGTAGACAGTCATGAAATCTTTATCCTCTGCGAAGAATGATTAATATTTTTTTTGAGTGATTGAATTTGAGTTGGAAGACAAGTTTGGAGTCCCACCGCGGACAAAAAAAATGTTGTTACATGGCCACTAGAGATGCTATTCTGCTTACTGAATACTCTTTAGGTGCCATTGAGCAAGACAGGGTCCCCACCACCTTATCTGAAGTGGTGCAGCACTCTTTGTGCAGCTGTTTCACTCTAAGAGCTAAATTTTTGCGCTCGGCACAAGTGCAAAGCGCGGTCAAATTGTATACACAGACGGAGTTTTCTTTGTTTTGGTATTTTCAGAGACGAGTGTAGTTAGAAACAGTTGTTTGCGCCGTTGTGGGCATGAACACAGTTGACTACCTTTCCGGCCAATGGAAGTGGCTCCTCTCATTCCCTCTCAAATTAGCGCGCTAAAGTCACACATTCTTCGACATTGCGGAGGCAATGGAGGCCAAGATCAAAGCACACAAAGTACATTTATAAGGAACTGCAAATAGATTTCCACGGGCGGAAGATCTAAGCTTGGCCGGGGCGATCAGAGATGACCATTGTGAAAATCCCTGTCATTATGAGTTGTTGCATGTCTTTAGAATGTCTGAGGAGAAAATCATGTCATCAAAGTTGGAATAAGATGTCATGATAAAATATGAAAAAAAGTGCAAGTACAGTAAAAATGTTCCATATGCACTGTACATCCCCCATTGTTCCATTTACTGTATAGTGTCACGCTGCTATTGACATAGCTGTTAAAACTATCGCCATCTGCCCAACGCACCCCGCGGTGGAAACACCCAGCTGGATCGCAGTTGGCTGTTCCAAACCATGACTGCTCTGAACGACCACTTGGTCTGCCCAACGCACCCCGCGGTGGAAACACCCAGCTGAATCGAAGTTGGCTGTTTCCAAACCATGACTGCTCTGAACGACCACTTGGCGGAAACATGGCTCAGGCTGTTCAAACTCACGTAGTCAAATTCAAGCCACCGGTGTAATTGCTATTGGTCAAACGTTTGAGGTTGGCATTTGGCGGCTGCGAAAGAAATACAAGTCATGACATCATCGTTTCGGCGACCATGTGTGGCGGTCGGCGCATGGATTTAAGTGGGTGTGAGAACGAGGAGAAACACCAAAGGAAGCGAGGCAAGTGAGTGCGAGGGAGGGAGTGCAGGCGAAGTAGGGTACGCGCATACCAATTAATGGGTGGAATTTCAACATCCCATCCATGCGTCCCCCTCCTGATCTAAGTTAGCAAAAGCTCGATTGTCCTTATTATCCCATGTGCTTATCCTGTGGTGTTTTGTGTGATTTTCTGCTTGGATAAATAATTGGACTGTTCATCGTAAACGTTAAACTTGTTACACGTGTGCTCAACTCTGAGTTCCACCAAGCAGTTGTAGCAGAGCCCCCTTTTGGAGACATTCGGTGGGATCAAGGACTTTGCTAAAAGAAGAAAAAGATGTTAAAGGAAGAGGCTGTCACTTGGGTGGAGTCGTGATGGGTGCCATGAAAGCTACGACCACCACTGAATATGTAAGTTGACAAATCTTGTTCACCAAACAACGTCGTAATGATCAAATACAATCAGGACATATTCACTCTTCTTGTAAAAGGTAATCCAATGAGATCTGGATTTGAGTATAAAAGTATTGCTATATTTCCAATATGTGTCTTCACCCACTTTGCCACATCCAATATGGTGGCGACAATGACATATAATTCGACTCTCAATGCGGTGTAGCAACTCATCGAAAAGAGCAGTCAAAACAATAATAGAATTTGACCTTCAAAAATTGGTGACACGTGTAGTCTACTTAAGTCGTGAGAGACATTCTTTCGCCGCAATACCATGAAGAGGGAAGGGGTTCCGGAGGACAGAAATGATTTCACATTTTCATAGCGCCTGTCAGTTTTATTGACACTATCACAACCTTTCCTTCTTCCTTTTGGACACTGTGTGACATTTTAAGCAGAGCGGGTGGCTTCTTTCACCTGCTCGGAATGTTGAGGAGGAGGAGGAGGAGGGCGAGAACGGCAATTGAAACGGAAAAAGTACAGTTCAAGGCATTGCTCATACCCTGGCCGAATTTTGAGTAAAAATGACATTTTACTTGGTCACTTGGTACCTTCCGGCTGAAATGACACAGTTCCACATCCTGAATTATTCAATACATACAGATGCAGCATAACCGATTGGTTACAATGCACTAGCTTATGTTATGCTACTCGGCTCCTGAGGAAGTATGACATTCTGACTTTGCTGTGTACAATAACCACCAAAATGAACTATATTTGGTGTCTCCACGAAATATAAAGATGGAGTTACTTGAACGTTTTCAGTGGCCAGGCTCCCCCTTACCGTACGTATTTTACTTTAGCTTGCACAGTGGCTTGGATGAACCAAAAAAGGGGATTTGGCGCAAGTTGAAAAAAAAAAATCAAGCCAATGATATGCTTAACACGAACGTAACCCATTTGTGGTATCACATCAAGTCTTTCTGGCGTCGCCATGGTAATGAGCCAATTGTGAGAAGCCAGTGTCACATCAACATGATTTTGAAGGTCTTATTTCGAGTTTAAACCGGGAACGGCGCAGACCTCCGCAGAGGTTAAACTGTCAACAAAAGTAAAAATGAATTTGTGTCCATTTCCTGTTACAATGTTAAAATAATACAGTATCAAAGAAAACCAATATTCATTTTGCCTTGACACTGTCAGACAGGTATTTAACGAGATGCTTATTCGTGTGTATTGAGTTGTATAATCTTGCCAGCGGCATTTCCCAGCTTGTGTTTCCTCAAAATATCCTGACAAGTGGTGGTGACAGATGCTGCTGTGTTTGTTTGGAGGCTGTGAACGCACAAACGTTGACCTGACAGCGAGGCGAGCGTGTGAGGCAAACAGAGGCAGACAACAATCCGACAAATACACAGAGGAGACGCCGGCGCTATTCAGCTTCAAAACCAAAAGGCTGGACGTCTTCGCCGGCTGTTCTGTGCAAGTCACTGACCTCGAACGAGGTACACACCTCCCGATTTTTAATGTCTTCACCGATTTAGCCATGTTTATTCTTATTGCTCTTTTAGAGTTTAGTGTACTTGAGGATGACCAACAGAGCACCCCACACATTTAACGATACCTCGACCTTGGTGTAGTACCAGACCTGGCCTGTGAGTGGCAACATGGTACCATAGGACATCCAGAAAATACAAAAAAAAAAAAGAAAAAGAAGGAGAAGCGTCGTAGATTGTCTTGTGAAAAGATTGGATGGAAAAGTCACTCTTAGCACACCACGGGATAATCGTTCAGGATTATCTTAACCTATCCGACAGTCTGGCCTTTGCTGACTGAAATTTGTCGTGTTGTTCCGTGTGTCTATTAACTCGTTTACCGTTCATGGTTCTTTTTTTCTCCCTGCTTCCATGCTCACCGTCAACAAAGGTGCTCTGAAAAGTAGAATATGACATCTTTGCACAGGGTCAGTGATCTCCAGACGCAACCCTGGCACACGGAGCAGGAAAACCAAACTTGAGAGTGTTTTATCGCTCGAGGGCAGTGCTATTGTCTGTGGGGTCGCCTGGTGAAAAGATTTGCTCATGAACCGCAGCCGTGAGGCTTCCAACGAAAGCCGCTGCATTATGCAACCTGAAGGCCTTTTTTTTTTTTTTAAATAAGCGACCACTCACTTAGGGATGTGGGACTCTCTGTCTCCCCCTTCTACAATGTCATGCATGGCTGAGAGCTTGCATCTGGAACTCATTTCCAGGGCTTGTGTAGGTGCCCTGGGCCATGCACAGTAGCATTAAATGTAAATCTATGGGATCAGCATCCCCCCCCCCACCCCTTCCCCGCCAACCCCCAAAGCCGATCCAATCTGCTCCTCGTTATTATGAATATCTGACACTTGAACGTGTTAGCGTCTTAAAGAAAATGAGCGTTGACGGGCAGTAAAGGATTATCTCAACACAAAGGGGCTATGAATTGGATGCTAGGTTTCTTTTTGGAGAAACTCGAGTCCTTTGCAGGTGCTCTAATAGGAACAACATCACAAATTCAGTTTTATAAAGCTTTGTGGAAATATTGTTTCGACTTCAGCATGATGATATTCGTCGCACCTGCACGGTCTAATGTAAAAGCTATATTTTCGGAAATCATGTCTTTTTCCATCATTAAGTTTTTAATTATCTGACACTTCCTCCTGAAATCAACCCTTTAAAGGTCCTAAATGTGCTATATGTTCTTAGGAATTATTTTTATGTGTAAATATACGACAATTTTTGTTGAATAGAAAGAAGGTGTCGTCGTCGTTTCATATCGCATGTCGGAAAAAAAAATCACATTGCTTTAACTATGGGAGAAGTCTAAAATTTGGTTGAGGTGTTCTTAAAAATGTTGACTTCTTAACTCTGAAGCAGATCCCCTTTCCTCGGAGAAGTCTAAAATTTGGTTGAGGTGTTCTTAAAATGGGTCTTGAAAAATGTTCGACTTCTTAACTCTGAAGCAGATCCCCTTTCCTAAGGTGATCACATTCACTTTTGTTCAATTTAACATCGTTTGGAGCGTTGAGTCTCCCGAATACGAGGAAACGTACAAAAATACAAAATAATATAAAAACACTCAAATCACTTGGAAAGATATTAAAACAAAAAGTAAAATTGAACATTTGAAAATTATCAATAGAGTTTGGCCACCGTCTTTTTGGGAGTAGGGGGACTTTGCCACAAATAAACACATTTTAATATGATATGTATTTAAAAACAATAGCTGCTCAATAGTCACTCTTATGTTTTAGGTTGCGTCATTTGTTCATGGCGTCGAACCTTTTTCCTGTCTATCATTGTCAGAATTTTAAAACAATTTGAGAACAGTAATAGCATGCAATGAAATGCAATGATCATAAAACAAATAGCTCACCCTCGATAGTAGCAATCCTTCCTCTGGCACCTGTTGATGAATCAAAGACCTCCTCACCACCGGGGATTTTTTTTTCTCTCTCTCTCTGTCGCTCTTCCCGGCTGCTTCGGTTGTTAAACACTCTTCCCAACTGCCTCCAGGCCAATGGGCAGTAATTTGGGAGTGTCTCCTCTCCTTGTGGGATTCAGAAAGGAGGAAAAAGATGAGGAAGTGAAGGAGGAGAACACTTTTCGGCAGCTTTTAATGTTTTTTTTTTTTTAGGCCCCTCCACCCCAAAGGATACTCAGCCTCTCCTCACGCCCGCTCACTTTTCCATCAGCGACTTTCTGTACCTTTCATAATATTAGTCTTGTGTAAGGTTTTGGTTATGGTGGCAAGAGAAGGGGGTTCAAACGAATGAGCTCAGCAGAAAAGATGGCTGGATAAGGGGCTCGTTTTAAGGAGGAAAAGCCAAGGGAAAGCTTTATTTAGGATAAAGAATCAACAGGGAGGGGTTTGCATTTCAAATAAGCACAAAACAGCTTCTGCCTGCCCAACCGTCACCGTCGAGGCCTCCCGACGTCAAGGTTGCCAATGCTTGACAAGGGAAGTTTGCCTGTTTCAAGAAAACTTCCTGGATGTGGTTGTTTTAAATCCACAAATGATAATTTGCTTCGTTTTATGTTGCGCTTGAGAGTCAATCTCAACGGGAAGTGGCAATAAACCACTTGAAGTCTCTTGAGTGAAAAATGGTTCACCATCTGCCAAATCGCTGCTTGTTTGTTGTCAAGTGATTTAGAGAGCGTTTGTCAAATAGAGCTTTGTTGGAGGAAAACCATTTTTTTTTTTTTTAAACTGCGCTGATAACTCCACTCTGCTTCCCAGCTGCGTGTGTAATCTAAGTGTCATCCATGCGCCTCTTGACAAGTCGCGAATGGAGGGTTTATGAACAATTTTCTGGTGACCGCTGACACGATGCTGATGTAAACAGAGGGAGTGAGTCCAAACGAGACGGAATAACCCCTGACATGCACAATCGAGCATTTTTAAATATATCTAAAAATGTAATGTTAATATTTCTCATGAAATGTGAATATATGAAAGCTAACGATAAACGGACAGGCCTCCAAGCTTGCAAACTGGATGTTTAGAAAAAGTGCTCTGACGTCTAGGCAGAGAGAGAGAGAGACAACCGGATGCTCCATAATGACACAATCATTATCAAGAATTGACACTTCCTTCCAAAGTTAAAAATAACACTGGAAGCAGCTCATTTACCGTCCCCTGATGGCGATTCCTAAACCCAAAATACTAACGTCATAAGAAAAAAAAAAAAAATGATATCACATGTATGGAATTATATATTATACCGCTGAGCTGTTTTCCCCCACAAAGTTCCCACAAGCTTGTCACCACGTTTGTGTACGCGCCAGTTATGCTGGACCAGCCAGTTTAATGTGCTCAGCGCAAAAGCAACAACATGTAACATCCCCCGTTCAGACTTGCCCCACTATTCTCAGAGGCCAGTCGAATGTGGGGAACATCATGAATTACAATAGAGATGGATGAGAGATGAAATTGTCAACATTGTAGCCAGCTTGGTCTACATTCTTCCATGCGACTTTCCTCAGTGGAAGAAGCAATTGGTTGAGCGCTCCCGCGCACCTGCTGCGCAAGCTTCACCTTCATTCCCTTGTCCCATCCAGCCAAGATAATTCGCTCCACTCCCGCATCGCGCTGGCATATTCCTCAGGATGAGCAGCTGTTGTTTACCAAATGAGTTTCGGCGTCTCGGGTGTTGCGGCGTAATTAAAGGGACAAATCAGCGCCCGTGCCTAAAAGTCTTATTTGACGCCATTGTTTATGACTGGTTTTTCCATCCATCCATTTTACGATCCGCTTTATCCTCGCAAGGGTCGCGGGGGGGGTGCTGGAGCCTATCCCAGTCATCGTCGGGCAGTAGGCGGGGGGACACCCTGAACCGGTTGCCAGCCAATCGCAGGGCACACAGAGACAAACAATCATCCGCGCTCGCACTCATACCTAGGGACAATTTCGAGTGTTCAATCAGCCTGCGATGCATGTTTTTGGAATGTGGGAGGAAACCGGAGTACCCGGAGAAAAGCCACGTTACTTTATTTTCCCCCTGCTGCTTCACACTGCACCGCTGCTAAACTTCAATTTCTCATCCAGCCTTCAATAAAGAATAATCTTATCATATTATAACCATTTAGTTGCATAGAATTAAGATTCAGGGTGAACAGTTATTAATAACGGTTAACTAAACGTGATTGATAAATTAGAGGTCTGTCTTAATCCGTTAATATGTTCCTCAAGTCATTAAAATGCATTTTCCGACACAAGTGTATAAAAAGCCGCATTGTGATATACAAATTTAAAGACACGACAATTATGATATGTGTACGGCTAACCTTGAATCAAATCGCCCAAGGCCCCACAGGGCATCGCAGTGCCACTGATTGCGTGTTTCCTTGCGAATCTGGAAGCAGTTTATTCACTGCGAAGCGGAATTGCCGTCCAAGCCAACTTGATTCAAAATGAGAAGCGACGGACGAATCCAAATCGCGTCACCACATGAAAACGGACTCTTGAAAGCCTCATGTCTGGCTTGTCTGCAGGTTATTCCGCTCACAAACTCGGCCACTTTACGTCATTACAATATCAACTTATTTCCATCCTTTATAAGCATGAAAGAAAAAAAAAATAACGTTTTCAGTGTGTTTACATGGAAGCGACGTGATTAGATTTAGGGGAAGCGCAGGAAAAGATTTCATGTGTTTACATTTGCCGAATGCCTCAGAGGCTTTTTTTTTTTTTCTCCAATCTTCTAAATACGTGTGAGTCGTCACATCCGAGGATGTGGACAAGATAAAGACGATTTAATTACAAACAAGTCAAGGCCATGCGGGTGCTTTGCTGAATCGTTTCTTGTGTGTGCTCAGCCGTCCTTTCGTGAATGAACACACACGCGCACACAATCTGTCATGAGTATCAAATCAATACTCCGTCGGCCTTCTGCAGACGCTAAAGAGCAGAGCTGTGTGCGGTTGTTCAGTGCATCTCTCTTGTGATGGACTGGCTACCAGTCCGCATCTCCTCCCGCCTCTCTGCTCCGGAAACGCGGTTGCCAAGAACAAATATAAGAACAAACGGCTGTGATGAAGGATTCCAGCACACATTCACACATGAGATGGCATCAAATTTAACACCCGGTTGTCCCAAATTTTGTTCACTATAACCCAATGTACAAAAAAAACAAACAAAAAAAAAAAAAACAACTGTTATTATAATCCGATAGTATTCTGATTTAAAAACAAAATGAACACAAGAGCCAAAGTAAATGCTATGGAAATACTTGTTTTACATGTCAGAAGTCATTCACCACAATTTCACCTTTAAAAAAAAAAAAAAAAAAAAAAACTCATTTCCAGTTACCAGAAAGGCTAACGGTCAGCTTAGCTTCTTAATTTTTTCACACACACACACACACACACACACACACACACACACACACACACACACACACACACACACACACACACACACACACACACGCAAACCATGAGAGCAGTTTTTCCTTGTCATGAGTGGCGTCTGGACCAGATCGTTGATATGATGCGACTGTTTTCAGTCTGGTGAAACTGCACCTGGAATTACACTTTCAGATTTTTATTTTATTTTTTTTGCTTCATAAAAGTTTTGTTCATAAAGCTTGAGGACTGCCAAACATTGTACAGTGCCAGTGGTCCCTTTTGCAAAGTACAATCACAAATGTTACTCCTTCCCCTCACACAATCTCTCTTTTTTTTTTTTTTTTTTAATGATGATTATTTTTACTTTTACTTTACAAGACCTTGCAGGGGCGAGACCATTCTCTTACCATTGCACATTTCAAATGCTTGAATGAAACAGTATCCGATTCTTAAAAATTGTGCTGCATCACATAAATCTGAGGAGTGGAGTTTTTGGTTTTCTCGAAATGTTGTCCTTGGCAGAACATAAGAAAAATCTGGGACAGTCTGCTGGTTCTGCTGCAAGTGTCGAGACGCGCAGACATCTAAAGTTGGTGATATATCTGTCTCTCCAAGAGCATGATGAAACATTCAGCATACACCATTTCCCACAATTTCCAGAAACTGAAAACGATCACGCGTATCAAATTTTATGAGGCGTAAAAAAATACATATAAAAATATATTTCCGTTGTAAACCGAGGACCTCCAATATTAGAAGCAACCAGGTTATGAAAACTCGATTCAAAATTCCCAGTAGAGTCTTTATAACAGATTTTTGGGAGCATGAAGGCCCTTATTGGAAGTGTTTGAATTTCAAATGGCACCATATTTAAATCCACCACACTTCAATCTCGAACATCTGCTAAATACAATAAATATGATGCTTTTTTGGAGGGAGGGTGGGGGGGGTGATATTGAGATGGCCCTATTTTCATGCCTAGTGCAAGTCTAGTACAAAGCTCAGTCGAACTTTGCACATCGGTGGACTTTTATTTCTTTTTGTATTTTTTTTTTTTTTTGTACATGACTAAAGCGTGTCCCAGGCATGTTATTAAGGCTCCCGAGAGCTATTTTAGATTGTGTGGGGGGAGAAAAATGCACAATGCTTCTCCCCTAAGCATTTCATTGAGTTCAAGTATGAATGGTTTGACTACGGTTGATTTATTTGAAAATGTTGCAACCTGCTCATTTCCGTCACCGCTGCCGTGACAGTCATCCATACATAGTGTGGAACAACGAGCCGGTTGAAGGCTTGAAAAGTGAGGTCCCAAATGTTCAGTTGACAAGAATCTGGAGGTGGGAAAAGCTATTTATTTTACCGAGTGACAGAAATACGGGAAATGTCTCCAGTTCACATTTTCCTCTCAGCAGGAGTTGGAGTGCATCTCACAAAGGCTCCATCGAAATAGAAATAAATCATTTCTTCAAGGGGTTCTTTCTCTTGGACGAACTTAAGGAAGCACCGCATGCATTTAGTAAAATTGAATGAACTCTGCGCCTTTACTGTACCTCGTGGCTTTCTTGTTAGCCTATTCAGCTTGGTGACCTTTGCGATACACAAAAAGCATGAACCACTTTTTCACGTTCGTTGACATGTTTTAATCACAGTTTGACTTGATGGGGATGAAGCATATTTTCTAACATCCAATAATTCATTATCGAAAGTTTTTCAATCTGAAAAATAGTATGCCTCAAGCTTATCATTGCACGTTTCTTTCTGGCATGCAGGTTCTAGCCACTGGGAGGCAGCATAATACAGGCAGGCAGATATGTAGTACACCAAAGAGACAGTCACAACTATTCAGTTGGCTTTTTTAACATGAGTTGTTTTTCACAAAGGATACAGAAAAAATGCATTTGGTTACTATTAGATTTTCTGTCTATTGTGTTGCTCCACCGTTAGTGTTCATATGAGGTTATAACACCCAGGTGCCTCTCCAAAGATTTTCAAAGCCTGTTTTATATTCTATACAGCATGTGTTTAGAGAGGAAGCCACCAACTGCTGTTTGTCATGTGTTAATATTTACTTATCCACCGTACAGCAGCAGCATAATTATGGAAATTCTAATACGATCTGAAGCTGTTTAAATTTGTTCGTACTTAACTTTAATAAAAGATCTGTACTGCATACAGTTATTGATTCTTTATATTTTTCAATAACACAGATTGCAATGGAGATGGGCAAAGTAAGCAGGGGGCAAATGTCATATTTTAAGTTTTGGGGGGAGCGGGCGGGTGGGGACGTCATCTACAAAAATCCGGGCCCATTTGGGACCTGTCCAAATTAAAAATCTGTGGCTGGCTTTTTGGAGACTTCTGTACACTCCGACACTCCTTCCAGAGTAGGTGCTTGTCCCTCAACTGCAAATTAGTGGCGTTTGCACAAAGCCACCACCATGCAGCCAGTGATAGCATTTTCACGGATGGCAGCACTCCATCACCATCACCAAGCCGCAATTACAACTCTTGAGCTTCAAAGTTTGCCCAAGATGTTTGTGTAGAACTGTAGATCCTCCCAAGCGTTTATTTTGGTAGGTGCATACTGCCACCCTATGGATGCATAGGACATGTAGTTTTGACATTATAGTTGCACAAAGTGTGTACTGTACTTCAATCCGACCGAAGAGGATTCGTATATTTGTTGTGTTCATTTTGCCCTTTATTGATGAAACTGTACCCATTTTTCGTTTAAGTTGTATTAATTTTGCTGATTTAAATAATTCGCTAATAATGTATATGTTATATTATAAATAGGGCAACATTTGAACTGGAAACTATTAGTAAAATAAACAATTGTGCAAATGCAATTGCCATTTTAAGATGTATTTTATGAAATTGTTGGTTCATTAATTATACGTTATTAACGATAAAGGATACGATTATGAACTACAATGAATTATTTTATGTTTTAAATACACTATATTGCCTTCGCATTTGTGTTGATGCTGTTTTACATAATTTAAGGCCCCCAACGGCAAAAAAAATATGTCCAAAGCTTTCAAACTCTCCCCACCAGTGTTACTTTTGATAGATACATACTGCCACTCTAACGTTATAAACACGTATTTTTGTCTGTTTTCATGACTGAATACTGACTTCATAATTTTCTTAATCATGGTGTTGTTTGTAATCATCGAGCCAGCGTTTATTTTTATTTATGTATTTTTCTCAATATTTAGTGTATGGAAGCGCAGCGTGGTCTTCGCAGATCGTGACAGACACTATTTTAGATTCGCCTTCCTGGTCAATAGGGGGCAACATTGAGCTGTGACTATCTGGAGTCGGCATCAGGACCAAGTGATTTAATTCAACATGGCGGCTGCCGTTGTTGCACGTCTGGGTGTCGATGTCCTTTATCACAGTTTCTGCGCTCCTAAGCAGGTATTGTACTTAAAAGTAACATTTTGATTTTGTCCTTTAAACGTGATGCTGTACTATACTGAACTGTGTTCCACTGTGACCTGATACGGGTCACGATATCGTGCCTTCGGACGCTATTACAAGAAATAAAAAATGGATCTACGAGAGTCGTTTATACTATTGCATGCTAACAAAATGACGATTCTTCTAAGAAAATGAGATTTCTGGTGAATGTGTTTGGGCGCATACATTCACCTTGCCCACTACGATATTTTTGGGGGGGAACAAAGTTGGTCAGTTGATAACCAGCAGAACACTGTTGCAGGCTCTGAGGGTCTGCTGGGGTTGTGTGGAACAAGCAAGGGGTTACTACGTTGACTGGAAGATGCTGAGAGATGTCAAGAGAAGACAGATGGCCTTTGACTATGCTGACGAGCGGCTGCGAATCAACTCGCTGAGGAAGAACACCATCTTACCAAAAGAACTCCAGGTACTCAACACAGCAGTGTTTAAAAATAACACTCTGTAGTTTTGTGCTTAAAAAAATGTAATAACTGTGTGAAGTGAAATGTAAAGAATTCAACTATTTGTGCATCAGAATTAATTCATTGTGGGGCTACTTCTGTTGTTCACAGCTTGCCAAATAATTAGTTGAGTAACTAACTGAGTGTGGGGCGAGTATTATGCAAATTTACCGAATATATGACATAAGCCTTCCTACCAAGAATGGAAATGTCGCACTGGTGAAATGGTATTGGTCTGTATGATCGATGCATTTCTACAATTACGATTACTGGACAGGCTGGTATTCGTGCATCACCAGTCAGAATGTAAAGTGTATAAATAGTTATATAATCGTTTTATCTGCTAATCTACAGGCCATTTGTTTTTGTTTGAAGTTCATACTTCAAATGTTCTTTACACATATTCCAGGAATTGGCAGATCAAGAAATCGCAGCGTTGCCACGAGACTCCTGTCCTGTGAGGATACGCAACAGGTGCGTGATGACCTCCCGGCCGCGGGGAGTGAAGCGCAGGTGGCGACTCAGTCGGATCGTCTTCCGTCACCTGGCCGACCACAATCAAATGTCTGGCATCCTGAGGGCGAGGTGGTAAACTCAGAGGACAACTGGCGACTTTCGGTGGCAGTGACTGCGCAACTCATTTTGACGATTTATTGTCACGTGAAGGTGTTTTAGTCAAGGATTGTGACGAATAGTTTCCTTTTATCTGAAATGCGTGCAGGAGAGCACGTCTGGTACCAACAAAGTACATTGTACGTGACTACATATTTAAGGTTTGGATGGAAAATGGGACATTCTCTCTAACATTGTTAATAAATAGAAGTGTACATTCATGTTTGTGAATTGCTTATTTGAAGAAATGTTGAAATAATCTGTAGATGCCATTTTGAACATTGTTCGCGGTAAATAAGAGGAACTTTAAATGGTGGCTGGTGTATGCCAACTCTCACTGAACCTGAGTATGAATGTGAATGGTTAATTTTGATTATTATTATTATTTCCGTTTTATTTTTACTTAACTTCAAAAATTCTTAGAACTTATGGGCCACATTTTGCTAGATGCAGTGAGTTGTTGCTAATATACGGTATTTGTACTTTTTGTACTCCCATGCGTAATAGGCTGAGTGCACACTACATTAAAACGTGATGAATTAGAGACACTAAAATATTTAAATAGAAACGCTCATTTACTATATTCACATTATTCTGTGTACTTTGGACAATAAGTGGGAATTTAGCGGTAGAATATGCATAAAGCAGTGTCTTGAACATGATCGAACAGTGACCAGGAAGTATCCCACCTATGTGCAATGCCACATTTGTGCGATGGGTTGCGGTAGCGCGCTCACGGTTTTGTTTAACCGCAACTGAAGTTGTCGAGGAAGAAAGTGGTCCAGCGGAATGGACCCACGTGACTAGCGGAGCTGCTGCGCACTAGGTAGCGTCTTTCTGCAAATCACCCAAAACTACACAATCCAAACCTCAAATGGATGTAACAGAGCAGGTATGTCCCACGTTCCCAACTTGTCTAGTTAATCTATATGTAAGAAGGTACATTTACACGTTTTGACGTATTTACTCAGCCGTCTGGCGTTTTTTCGGTTCAAGTGAAAGTGATGTTACGCACGCTAGCTAGACTACTTAACATTGTGACATGGACCGATGTATTCGATTTTTTTTCGTGTGTTGATTTAAATTTCTTTTCATCTTTCTTCGGTACTGCACTATCAACAAAAGTGTTTGTGCGAATATCCCCGCTGTATCAGTTTTATTCTCCCCACGGAATGACGAAAGTATTTAATCATCAAAAACAACCACATAACGCGCACTTGTTTGCGAGTACGTTCTACGTGTAGAACATTCTACAGCAGCTCGTGTCTAGTACAGGGGTAGGGAACTCCGGTTCTCCTCGATCTCTCTACCTCGACACACCCGATTCAAGCCATCAGCTCATCAGCAAGCTCTGTAGAAGTCTGAAATGATCCTGAGCAATTGAATAAGGTGTGTTGGAGTTGGGAAAAGTTAGGTAAAATAATAGGTTCTAAAAATATCCGATAGCTGTTGGTTGTTAGTTGAACGGACCAACCAACCAAAGTGTGATCAAAAGTGAATGTTGACAGAACACTTAAGACAATGAATTCCCTGGAAACAGATCACCCAGTTGGAAGCAGACTTGTTGGAGCTGGCTTCTCTCACGGAGAAGGCGGAGAGGAAGAGAGTGCAGGAGCTGCTCAAGCAAGAGCAGGCGAAGGTTGAGAAAGAGCTCGCCGCCAAACGTCAACAGAAAGAGCAACAAGCCCGGAGACAGGCCGACCCGGTGGCGTCCTCCAAGGCGGTGTACACGGTCAAGATCACCAATTATGGTACGGCCGCTGTGCAAAGCACTGCTTGTCCTATTTCCCTTTAATTATAATCTTCACGGATGTGTATATTTCAATCCAATGCAGCGTGGGACCAGTCGGAGAAGTTTGTGAAAATTTACCTCACTTTGAAAAATGTGCACAAGATTCCATCTGAGAAAGTGGAAGTCAAGTTTTCAGAAAGGTATGCCGTGAAAAACACGAGTATGTACAAGGGCTCCACGGTTTTCAATGTTTGTCCTGTGATTGCTATGGCAACGTAATCCAAATTTGTACACAGCTCTGAACACGTCATTGTTTATCACGGACCACAGTATTAAAGTCATGATTACGTTTCTTAACTGACCGCGTAGTAATCAAACCAATGTGGATGTTGTTCTTCCAATGCTCTAGGTCATTTTCGGTGCTGGTGAAGGAGCTCGACGGGAAGAATCACCAGATGACCGTTCTCAATCTGTTGTATCCAATTGATGAGCAGAACAGCAGCACCAAGGTGACAAGCACATACTTGCTGTTAGCTTCTGCAAATCGAATGTTGAACAAACCGTATTTCCTCGGGCTGGGCAATTAATTCATCTAAATTTAATTGTGAGTTAAATTTTGGTTTCTCACGATCATAAAAACATAATCGAAGAAAAATGTGTCTGCTTGTTCCCACTCTGGGAATGTACCGTGCTGCTTGCAGGAAACATGATTTTTTTTTTTTTTCTGCCCGACCTGAGTGTGCTTTGAGGTGTTTATTGATCCCCCAATTTGGAGTTTAACTAAACACACACAAAATGAATCATCTATATAAATACAAATAAATGGTTTTAGGTACATTTCCATCTTCATGCTAGCACTCAACCCTATTGACTGATAGGGCACATCAACTTTAGAAATGTATATAAAGATTTACCTTTAAATAAAGAATCTTAACATACAGGCACTGTAGTAACATACACAGACAGGACATAGAAAAATACTTTTGTTTTGCAATGAGCGCAATGCCATAAAAGCTCTGTCCTGCCCTCCCCAGATAAAAACAGACATGGTTGTGATCATGTGCAAGAAGCAGGCGACCAAGAAGTGGGAGTTCCTCACCACGGTAGAAAAACAGTCCAAGGAGAAAGAGTAAGATGTTGCCTAATTCGACAGGATCCGTTGGCATGATTTTAAACACAATTAAATCTCATCCGTTCCTTTCTTCCTATTGCCTGTTGACAGTAAGCCCAGCGTCGATGAAAACGCAGACCCCAGCGAGGGACTGATGAGCATGTTGAAGAAAATCTACACGGATGGTGACGACGAGATGAAGAGAACCATCAACAAAGCTTGGTCGGAATCCCAGGAGAAGAAAATAAGAGGAGAAGAAGGAATGATGGATTTTTGAACCGCAGTCACCATTCCGCCATAGCGGGACTACATGAGAGATGATTGTTTCCGATTGTGACCAATACAAAAAAAATGAGATTACATTCATCACATGTTGGATGACCTGCTACTCGCTGTCCATTGTTTTAAAGAATATACAACCACTACTATTGGGGTACAGTTTGAGCATGTTGTGGTTTAGCTTGGATTAAAACCCCACATTCACAAAACTATATTTGTCCTCTCCAAGATATACAACATCAAATTCGACCTGATATTAAAACTTAATATGAGCGTTCACCATCATCCGCCTTTATTTTGTTGACATTCTATGAATAGTTCATGGCAGCTCAGCGGTTAAGCAGTTTCCAAAAATAGGTTGAGTTGTTGTACACCAGGATGTCATTTGCAATTGTCTTTCATTATGCCTTATTGTTGTTTTTCTTGCTCTGCTGTTATTCAATTGTACGATTGTTAAGCAGCACTATTCCAGTCCTTGGCGCACTTCTGAAGTAAGTACAAATTTCAAACAGATTTTCTTTGTTTTATTTTTTTTCTATTTGATTACAACCAGCTGCATTTCCCTCGAAAAGTCCAAATACAGCACATTTGACAAGAAAGTTGTACTTGATACTATCTACTCTCAAAAGAGGCTACCGGCATGTGGTACTGTTTAGTAGTGTTTCCATAGCGCAAATAACAGTGAGTCTTGTCCTGGTTTTTACGATATGGTACTCGTACGTACGTCGAAACGAAATCTGATTGAGCGGTGCAGTAAATATTTTTTTGTGAAAAACACTTCTAGTCCCTAAATATAAAGCAAACGAAGACCGCAGCTGGATGTGCTTTCTTGCGCATGACTTCTTTTAGTTGTTCGTAAACTGACTCTACAATTCGAATGTGTTACGAAGCTTCTGTCCACCAGATGGCAGCAGTGATCTGATCGGCCCTAAACATGCACACAACGTGGGGGCGTTTGTTTCTCTTTACCGTATTGGGTGAGGGAAATTTATGGGGGAAATGAACGTTGAGATAAATCGAGAGAAGGACGTTGCAGGGGGAACTGACTTACTTGTACAACTTAAATTATATTGTTCCATGAAATTGTTGGAACCCCTTCTCTACAACCTTTTCTCTTCATTTGGTAACGTTTATCACGGCTGCACATCTTCCATCTGATTTTTTTTTCTCTGTCCAATCATATTTGAGACTTTATTTGATCCAATGTCAGCTGCTGAAGTCCTTCAGAGTCAATAGAGCTGGCAAATGGTACTAAAGCCGCTTTTCATTCAAGGTTCTAGAATGGCCTGGCTTAGTCTTCGTTGCATTCTTGCAATGTCTGGGGTTCTGCCGTCAAATTTCATGTGTGGCAAATCTGGCCACTGGTTGCGCTGCGTTCAAAATATGACTTACTGTTGTATGATGTGGTATTCTGTCTCTGTTGTTTATTCCACGGTATACATGAATCATTCTCAATAAAAATTGACATGGCCACCCATTCTGGAAACAGGGAAAGTAATTTGGTAATAATAAGGCAATATTATGTTCACGTGTTGTTTCTTCCAATTCATTTTTCCTACCGTTTTGACTGGCGTGTCTGTCGGGTCGAGACTTTCTCCCCATAACCGCGCCCACTATTTTTGACGTCACCATCGCCTATATATATTCATTGTGGGACGTTTTGTCCGGACATACTAGATGGATTCAGTGGACTGAGAGAGGCGTTACGCTCCCCAAGCACACCAGTTTTTCCTCCAAATAGGAATACAACAAGGCTCTTTTTGTGTGTGTATTGCTTGCCGCCTTCTCAAATGGATATCGGTTGTTTCACGGCGGCGCAGCGTCTGTCGTGCCACGCCATGAATGCGGATTTAACCAACAAGCCTGCCGCTGAGGGAGCCCAGCAAGCCGGCGCTCCGGGAGCCAAAGCCGGCCGCTCGAAATCGGAGTCTGCCAAACCGGAGTTGGCTCAGGTGGTGACCGACGTCAGGACGGGACGGTCGTACAGCAAAGGGAAGCTTTTGGGAAAGGTACTCGAATATATGATTTATGATCTGATGTTGTCGCGCGCGCGTCGTGTTTATTTGTGTGGGGAAAATTACACGCGGTGTTGCAGGTGTGTGTAATCAGTACAAGGTGCGTCAATGTTAACGAAGAAATGTGTCGAAGCTTCACCCCCACCGCCCCCCCCCTCCATTTTTTTCTGCCCCGACATGATACATAACACCTATAAAGATTGAAGAAAGAAATGTGTCGAAGCTTCACCCCCACCGCCCCCCTCCATTTTTTTTTCTGCCCGGACATGATACATAACACCTATAAAGATTGAAGGAAAAAAATAGCCAAGACGCTCTATCAACATGTTGCGCGTCACCGCTTCATGCTGCCGAGTCATGTCTGGACTGTGAGATGCCGCAGAGCAGCCGACCAACGTCAGTTTCACGGTTAATGAGAATGCAGCAACCCGGCCTGCGTGCCTGCCTGCTAGCCATCGTACATCCGAGCGTTTTCTTTTTTTTTTTTCTTTTTGGAGTGCATCGCTTGCATGCCAATGACGCCAGAGATGCTTCAGGCGCAACGACCGAGCAGGACTTGGATTAGATTTTTAGAATCTATAGAATGTCTTTTGAATAAATTGCTGTTTTAGCGGTTATGGAACCAAAGCAGACGGTGGCCATTCCATGTGCTGCACCAATGAATGTTTGGTATATATTATGACAAATATAGGTTCAATGGAGCTGTGAATGTGGATTTCACCATCCCTGGAATCAAATGTTGAATGTTATTTCGACCTGTTTGTAATCTCTTCGTGTTCCTTGCCAAGGGGGCTTTTGGTGGAGACTTGACTCAAAAGATATTTGAATTGCGCCATAATGCAACAGGGGTGGCTATTTCAGTCCTAAATCATGTACACTTGGAATTCTCAATATTTTTGTGTAAAATATTATGCAGTAGATGATAGTGAAAATTGATGAAATCTCTCACACCTGCTCGGATTTATACCCTTGTTTATATATGTATGTATGAGGTAGCTGTATAAGATGTGCACATTTCACTTTTCCCTCGTTGACTCATCATTGGGACAGTTCATTAGTGGTTCAGTAGAAAATGTGCTCAGTAGTGTCCTGAGTCATTTGTGTGAATGAGAATTTATAGGTTAAGTGTGCGCGTGTGTGTGTGTGTACACCCCCCACCCTTGCGTTAGTTATGCAGGTTCCAGCCGTCCATTATCTGAACCGCTTGATCCTCACGAGGGCTATTTCATCCAATTCAAATTTAATCACGACTTTCCTTCTCCCCAAGGGTGGCTTCGCGCGATGCTACGAGATGACGGACCTGTCGAACAACAAAATGTTTGCCGTCAAGGTGATTCCACAGAGCAGAGTGTCCAAACCGCACCAGAGGGAGAAGGTATAGGCGACTGCGACACGCAATGTGTGTTTGTGTGTCCCCCGTCACAAATGAGTTGGGAAACACATCTGTGTGAAATTTTCACCCTACACAGCCACATTTTCCCCTCTACCAAATAAAGTAAGACTTCCTCGATCCTTGTAAATACCTTGACTCACACACATTACCAAAAAGAGGAAGTATTAGTCAATAAACCTTCTGCGGTGTTTCCACTTTAGTGAAATCTGCTCACAAAATATATGATTTCCTGCAGCAACAAGAAGACATAAACATGGCGCAAACAAGCCAATGTGATCCTATCACGTAGATTAGCTTTTGTTTTCAGTACTCTGCACAATATAAATGGTTGTAGAGTTTTTAGGCTTTTCACAATTACAGATGGGAAAAAAGTACAAACTTGTAAGCTGGGGCACTCACAAGTCAAGGTGCCACTGCATGATAATCATCATTTTTCAAGTCTTATTGCACAACTGGTACGGGCTACCTTTTCTGTTGAAAGCAATTGTAGTTGTCGCGCGTGTGTCGCCGCCCATCATTCCATCTGAAACGGTCAGGTAAAATAAATCCCAGCTCTACTGCTGACTGATGCAGCATTTTACCAGGGATGTAGTGTGAAAGTGCTTATGTCGTGCTAGGGCAAGATGATGAGCAGGGAACCCATAAGAACGTGGTTGACTGAGCTGAAAAATTGGTTCTGTTAAAGGAGAACTCAAAAAAAAAAATGCCCCCAGAAATCAAAACACAATATTGTGATTAAGGCTACATTCACACTGCAGGGCATGATAACCGATTTGATATTTAAGTTTGATATTTTTATGTACTCATTCACATCAGAAAAAAAGCGACTGTGCAATGTTGCACGCAAAGCATGTCGTCGAGTGGCGTGCACCCACAAAGACGTGGTGCAGTGGTAGGGCTCATCTTTTTATTATCTCATATCGCAAGGGTAGCGAGGTGGGAGGAGGTTGAAATATTTTGGGGACAGGAGGCCGCTGTTATTTATTGGAGACGTCTGGAAAAGACGACGTCACGTCATTGCCAAGTGTACTAAATTAAATGTCTGCGTGACTGTATTGACGACGATCACCACAAATATCCACTTGAAGTTTGATGTTTCAAGTGGGATTAAATTGGTTACATTTAAGGTCAAATAACCGTGACACAAAACATAGAAAAACAAATTAGAATTGTACTGTTCAGATCGCATGGGAAAAAAAAAAAAAGATGGGTGTCTCATATGGGCAAAAGAAATTGGAATTGAGCGTGTAAGTGTGAACGTGGCCTTGTCTGAAGTGATGAAGTACAGGTTGCTCAAACCACACAAGTGCTTTTTTTTTTTCCCCATGACGCTACAAAAATCATGTCCACTGGGAAATATTGTTAACCTTGAATCTCTAGTCTCAGGTCTTCAGCATACAAAAAGCGATTGCCTGTTTTTTTTTTCTGCGCTTATGTAACATGCGCAATCATGCAACCTTTCTCGATCTCCCACCTAAACCGGTTTGCAAGTGGCAGTTGAAGGCAGTGCTGAAAGCCCAGTTTCATTGCCGGTTTGACACGTTGCCGTGGAATACCAGAGCGTTAAAATAGTTTTGCGCGGCCCCCGTCAGGGATGGCAACGGCATTGTTTTGAATGTTTGAAGGTGATTCAGTGAATCTCCTGTATGTGTGTCCCTCTTAGAACCATCTGTGGAACCCCCAACTACTTGGCCCCCGAGGTACTCAACAGGCAGGGCCATGGCACAGAGTCGGACGTTTGGTCCCTCGGATGCGTCATGTAAGTAAAACCGATGTGACGGTCACGCGTGACCTAGCATGTTTTGCGTCGGGCCTTTTGAGGCTTTGTGTGCTTGAAGTCACTCGGTGTGTGAAGACTTTGAGTGACGTTGTCTTGAGCAAGCTGCAACACGAATGGCCGACATCCTAGCTCAATTGTGAAATGAGGACATAATGTGCTGAACTAATCGTGTGGTGTCAAAACTCCAGCCCAGCCAAATTTGTTGCCAGTCGGCGGCGTAAAAACACTTCCTGCCAAAAAAAAAAAGTCTCCTCCCTCCCACTTGTTGTGTGAGTTCGGTACACTTGCTAACTGTGTTGGGAGCAAACTTCACAACTTGCAGTATTTGGGCCGGTAGTGGACAATTCTTGAATCAAGCCGCTTATTGGCAACCCAGTTGAAGAGTACTGTGAAACTCAACAAAGAATTAGTTGCAACTCTTTTCTGTTTCGTCATTAAATTTGTGTGTCGTTGAAGTGTTCTATTTGGCCCTGGTGGCCACGGCGTCCTCACCAGAAGGAACAGCACAATGCCCATTGAATTATGAGGCACCGACTGTTTAATTCTTCAGATTATGTTTAAATTAATTCTGTACCTTTTTATAAAGTACAGTTTTCTTATTTTAAAAACCACCCAAGATGTTTTTTTTTTTGAATGAAAATGTTTGGTGGCTGCAATGGAACAAATTGTCATGAATTTCTATTTTAATGAGGAAACATAATTTGAGATACAAGTGTGGTCACAAACGGTCGCAAGTCAAGCAAGGCGCCAATGGATTTACAACTAAAATGGAAAAAAAAATCTCTTTCCAATGTTTCAGAAGCAAGTTGGGGGGTGAGTCAGAATTTTGTGAGTCATGACACTGTTTGCCTGGCTTTCTCCCGTTCAGGTACACGCTGATGTGCGGCAACCCGCCCTTTGAGACTCTTGACCTGAAAGAGACGTACAAATGCATCAAGGAAGTTCGGTACAACCTGCCCTCTGGGCTCTCGCCCGCTGCGCAGAAACTCATCTCCAGCATCCTGCAGAAAACCCCCAGCGACAGACTCAGCCTGGATCAAATTCTCAACCATGAATTCTTCACCAAAGTAATTCGCATTCAGACAACTTTTTATTTATTCCCCTGGGGGGGCAATTTAGGGAGCAGAGAGCACCGTTGTTGCTTACATTTAGTGTGGTACGATGCGTTTACAACATTACACTGACGAGCACTCTTGCATTGTCCTTCGAGGTGCCACAATGAATAGATTATACAATTGACAGCCATTTTAATAACGTAGCAGTCATTCCGAGACATTGTTGAACTTTTATTTGCCCAAATCCTCTGACTTCAGCGTCTCAGCAGGAATTCTTTGATCGTTTTAGTCTGAGCAGACTGATTCTTTTGTTTGATCAAAATAACACATTGACTCGTAGACTTTTGGAAAACAATGACCTAACCAGTAACAGAACCAGTTTCAAAAAGGTTGGCGAGTATGACATAATTCCTTTGTGTGTGATTCTGTAACAATGCCAAATAAACAACAATCATTGGTGATTAAACGGTAATGACGAAAATGGTTTTGTAATCCAATCTTACCTGATTAATCGATGATAAAAAAAAAATACTCAATTATATTTTCATTACTACCCCCGAGTGAAGTAATGGTTCTTGTGTGGGAGTAGGGGTCAGAGTTTAGGAGGAAGAAGTGCCTGATAGCCCAACTCATCGCTCCCGGCGTCGTCCTTAACTGTCTGTGTCCATTGGCCCCTGCAGGGTTTCACTCCCGACAAGCTCCCCCCCAACAGCTGCGTAACGGTGCCCGAGCTCCATCCCCCCAGCCCGGCCAAGAAATTCTTCACCAAGGTGGCCAAGAGTCTCTTTGGCAAGAAAAAAGCGAAAGGTGAGCACAACCAAAGCGTCGATGGCATTTGCATGCCCGTCCCGGTAATTACATGTATCTGGCACTTGTCGTCTTGCGAGGTTGGTTGCTTCTGGCTCATGGGAGCAGTTGCTTAAAAAAACAAACCAAAAAAAAAAAGCTCAAGTGGCCCTGGCTTTGTTTTGCAAGTTTAATTTTATGGGTGTGACTCATCGCGTTGCAGCGGAGAAGGCGCCTTGTGAGGAGAAAGAGGACAAAGATATTTCCAAGCTGGTGTCCGGCATCGTCAAGTGCTCCATCAACCGCCAGATCAGCTACAAAACCGTCGGCCCAAATGAGGTGTGTCTAACTATCCTCGCGCTTCAGGAGCTAACGGCTGATATTCTCCGCTGTCTCATTTTTCTCATCTCCGATTCAATCGCTGCTGTGAAATTACATATGTCTGCAACTGGGGTCTAGAACATAATTTCACCAAGTTCAAGTTGACCCGAAGCAATCTGAACATCGTCATGAAGACATACCTGTCAACTTTTCGGAGCGCCAACCTGTATAAACTACCAAAAAAATCCTTATAAAGAGCAAAAAAATCCTTATAACATACCAAAGCATTTTATATGTCAAAATAACGGCAGAAAAAAAAACGCGAAATATGAATGATATATTTGTTTCCTTGTAGAACTTGCTTGTACACTACCGAAGTATGCAATGAATACTCTGCTGTTTTCAACTAGGAACCACGTGATTTACTGGAAATGAAAGCAAAAAAAAAAAAAATTCAGAATCTGTATCATTTGTGCGATATGGCCATATATGTAGGATTCACCACAAAATCCGTATGAAATATGGCTAAACCGTATGAGTTGACAGGTATGTGAAGATATCTTGTATTGAGACGAATTTCTTGAACTGGGATGATGACTCGCCAGAATCAAATGATAGAGACCGCAAAATGGACTACAACATTGCCGTAGCAGAACATTTAGTACCGCCATCATATATGGTAACATCACCTTAATGAGTTTGTGTCGTCGTGTCTCCACAGGTGCCCACGCCCACCGGTCAACTGGTCAACTCGGTGCCTTTGGAGCAGACCCCTGCTGAGGAGGAATCCAGGAAGTCCATCTCGCGCTCCTTCAAAGGCACCATGGCCAACAGCTCAGAACGTAAGCTTTTTTTTTTTGGGGGGGGGGGTGTAATTCTGTGAAGTTGTAGCATCGTAACACAACTTCATTTATTGTGTGTGGGTTTTTTTTTTTCCCCCGCAATTAATCAATATTCTTTTTTTTCTCTCCAGCTTGTGAGGATGTTGTTACTCCCTCCTTTGTGGCTGAATCTGCCATGAAGGTTCTCAGTGGCTGCTTGGCCATCATGCCTGCAGGTAAGCATCGGTCTACATGTGCCGCACATTGCTTGGGGGGGGCGGTCTTAGTCTGCGTTGTATCACAGTCAAGCCCAGTGGTTACTGGTTTTGATCATCGGCCTGATTCTTTGTCAGTCTAAGGCACGGGTGTCAAACTCAAGGCCCGGGGCCAGATCCGGCCCGCCAGGTCATTTAATATGGCCCGCGAAAGCAAATCACGTGTGTCAACTTGCCAAAATCTGTCCCGAAATGTCAAATTGTCATGTGTAATAAATAACGTTGAGATTTTGCAATCATTGTGTTACCCAGTTTACACTCATTTGAACAAACTATCACAATTGACTTGACTGATTTCGAAACTAGTTATCTATTAATTTGTGGTTTGACTGTCATAACGGCCCTCCGAGGGAAGACGTAACTCCAAATTGGCCCGCGACTAAAATGAGTTTGACACCCCTGGTCTAAGGTCTTTATACCTCGAATTTCTCCTGACTCGCACGGATTTAAGGGACAGGAAACTTTGTCGTTTTTAAGTGTTGAACTAAGATGGGAATTTTCCTTGTTTCTTATGGTTGTTGTTGCTTTTTTTATGGTTGTTTTTGCCCCCCCCCCCCACCCACCCCCGAATTCTGCAGCCACAAGAAACCCACCGTGCCTGTCCAGGCCCCAATCCTTCCTGTGGGTCACCAAATGGGTAGACTATTCCAACAAATACGGTTTTGGCTACCAGCTGTCAGACCAAAGCATCGGGGTGCTCTTCAACGAGGGCACACACCTCAGCCTCTGTGACCAACGCAAGTGAGTGGAAAGCCTCGACGACGACTCTTAAGAGTCAGCAAATGCAGACATTGACTGTTTGTCGTCGTCCTCCCCCAGGACGGTCCACTACTGCTTGACCAACAACAAGCACTTTAGCTTCCCTGCCAGCTCGCTACCGGAGCAGCTTCGGAACCAGAAACAAATTGTCGAGCTCATGGCCAATTACATGGAACAAAATCTCATGGAGGTATAAGAAAATGAGGAGGAGAAAAAAAAAACCCCAGCAAAGAATCATGTCCATATTTGTTACAGATGAGTGAGTTTTGGTCCATTTTGTTGACCGACAGGGTGGTGATATTCACTGTCATGAACTAGTTCCCGGTCCTCCTCCTCTGCTGCTGCAGTGGGTGAAGACGGACCACGCGCTCGTCATGCTCTTCAACAATGGAACGCTGCAGGTTAGTCGAAACACTCGGAAATTGAAATTGACAACTGGGAAACAATTGTGGTAGATTATAACTTGGCTGACAGAAATCACCGGGTTCTACTGGATTTTTGTGTTTATTTTGTCTGACATACTTTATTACATCCTATTTCAACACTCATCATTTTTTTGAGGTAGAGGGGGGCAGTTTGAGTTCCTTGGTATTTTTAATAAAAGGTCACTGACATCTTTCTGCCAAGATGTGCAACATCTACTTGTCAGACTGCGGTTGGAAACATTCTATTTTGGGGGCGGAGAGGCGGTTTAGCCTCATGCAAATGCTTTCGGTATGATGGCCAGAATGAAGTGAGCAGCTCGTCAGGGTTGCCAACATGGCGACTGTGGCTAAATTTAGCAACTTTTAAAGCGAGTGACTTTTTCTGGTGTTATTGGAGACTTGTGGCGACTAAGACGCCCTCCAGAGTGGTTGTTGTTCACTCTGCTGTGACAGCTTGCACATGCATGTCACCACTGGCTCATTTCACTTGTAATTTTGCACTCCAAACACACGATTTGCATCCAAGCTATTCAAAAATCACATTTCCATATCTACGTGAACGATTCCTTATTCGCACAAAGTTGCGTTCCGCTAACAACTGTCCAATTCGTAAGGTTAACCTTAAGCCTTTCTATGGCGGAGTGACAGCTACATTGTAAGCAAATAGTGACACAGCATGACACTCCAGTTGGGTAAACACTTTTTTTTTTTTTTTTGGTAAATGAAGCTTCCACCACACAGAATATCAAAGACAAGTTCTGTTAGCCTTAGTTAGAATTCACACGGAACACAAGCAAAGGCATCTCTTTTTCTAAAAGTATTCTACCAGACCATATGTTTCATTTTTGCTGGATGTCTTACTTCAATCTTCCTCCTCCTGTCCAGGTAAACTTCTACACCGACCACACGAAGATCATCCTGTCCAAGTCTTTGGATTCGTACCTGCTGACCTACATCAGCCGCGAGCGCGTCTCCTACACGTACCTCTTCAGCATGCTGAGCGAAATGGGCTGCACGGCGGAGCTGCGGCACCGCCTCAGATACGTCCTCCATCTCCTGCAGCACCACGCCGACGCCTGAGAAGAAGAGGATGAAGAAGAAGAAGAAAAAAAAAACAACAACAAAAAAGACTGGCCAACTGTGACTTTCGAGGCTCAATGACCGGCTCCAGCTTGATTGGTTGACTCTTTTGCGGTGCCGTAACGGGCCTCCTCGACCCATGGGGACTGCTGCCGAGATGGCTGATGATGTGATATTCCTGCCACTTTGATCAGATGACGCGTTTGCCTCCAGGGTTTGTGCCTGTCCAAAGTTTATTTGGCGATATCTAATGATTGGATACTCCATGACGGATGCCTAAAAAGGGGAAAAAAAAAAAGTATAACCCAACCACCAATTCTACTTCTTGGTTGCATGGTGCCAGTGGAGCCTACCGCTTTCTGCCTCTCCTTATCGATGTAGTTCTGGGTGTGGTGTCTCCATGGTAACGAAACACTTAATTGCAACTTGTATTGGTTGAAAAGATGGTGGTGGGCCCTCTTCTTTTTCTTCTTCTACCCTCTCTGCCGCTTCCTGACCTGTGGACACTGGTGCACTCATTCGTTTTTTTTTTTTTTTTTTGGGGGGGAGGGTGGCGCGTTTTGTGTTCAGTTTTTGCAAAAAGATGTGAGCCAGCAACAGATAACACTACGATCTTGATTTACCTCACACGCACACTTGACATTCCTGGCCATATTTGGATGGTGAGGTCTGGCGAAATCCTTTGCTTCTCCTGCGTCATTGTCACCTATTTCGTTAGAAGTGTTCACTAACATGGTGCAAGGAGTAATTAAGGGACGACGGGAGTGGCACCATAATGCACAGGGTTTTTTGGGTTTGTTATTTTTTTGCAAATCCATACTTTTTTTTTTTTATCTTCACTGGTTTTATTTGATTTTTTTAACCGTGTACCAAAAGGCCTTTTTCTTTCATCTCATTTTTAGAAATACGTTTTTAAATCAACACGTAGGTGAATGCGTGTGTGCCCACATGTTCTGGTAAAACAGACGGCCGGTCCGGGAAACGAAAGGAGGAGAGGAGACGAGTGAGGGAGGGGGGGTGAAAAGTGCCTTTCTGAGGGATGTCTGTATAGTGCAATAACAAGCCTCTTTTGTGAATGTCAAGCTTGACGGCTTTGTCATGATTTGTGCGTGCTTTTGCGCTTAAGGTCAAAAGCAAACGTCCAACGGCGCTACACTGTCACTAGCTGGTATAAGCTTTTAAAATGAACCCCCGCTCTCACCAATGCATAATCTCCAGCAAGATGAAAACATGCTCGTCGTACTGTGACCCTCATCGGTTTACATTGGCTTTCTCGACTCAAGAGTTGTATCCTCAAAGCTGTGACCTGGAATGCAAAAGTGTCTCGTACAAGTGTCGTGTTTTCAGAAACATTGTGAAAGAAAGTCTGCCAATTTAGAAAAGACTTTATTTTTCTGGCACATAATGTCCTGTTAATTTATATTTTATTTATTCTGGTTTCTTTTTTTTTTAAGTTATTGTGTATATGTATGGTGTCGACACGAGGAAATGTTCAATTTCACTCACACTTTTTGTATGTATTGTATGGAGGGGACATGGGGCAAAAATAAAGTTTGAAGAGAACATGTGTCAGATATCCAATAGAAATGTATGGTATGTCTAAAATCCTCAATCCATAATGTATGGGGTGAATGTACCAATACAATATTCCACTTGATTGCCTTATACTTTTTTTTTTTCTCTCAGATGAACACAAAAATGGAACTCCAATACAATATTCCACTTGATTGCCTTATACTTTTATTTTCTCTCAGATGAACACAAAAATGGAACGACGGGAATCGCATCTTAGTCGCTCATGCTTCACTCTTTCAGAAAAGTGCAGTTTCTCAAGAGACTCAAAGTAGATGGAATCATTTGTTGCCAAACGTGTTTACGTTTTAAAAAGAGCCCCTGCTTGTCACTCAAACACCAGGAGACTCATGAAAGTGGGGCAACGAGCTCTTCAACTTGCTTTGCTTTGAAAACGCAGTGGCAAGGTGCTGACATCTTCAAACGTTCAAACGGTGCCGGTAAATGACTTGTTCACGTGACTGTGTCCATAACGTTGTCACGTTCTTTAGCCCTGCGCTTTTTTTTTTTTGTCACTCCGTGTCCAGTATGATCTGAATTGAAGCATTTAATCTTGCTAAATGTGAAACAATTCCACAACGCCACAAAACCACATGACAGACATGGTCTGATGAGATAATCTGCAGTATGATCATCAACTAAATCTGTGCAATGATTAACATTTTTACTCTGTTCATTTTGTTCACTTCAGTGTTCGTGTTTATGGATTAATGTCTACTCTCTCTAAATTGTTAAAACGTAGTTCAAGGTAAGGAAACTCACAGATTTTTTTTTAATGTCAATTAAATTATATCCTGAAAGTCAGCAGGCAGGTAAAATGACTTCGTAGATTACAACCAGTGACATCATCAGCTGAAAGTAAAGTAACAGAAAAATGGGAGATAAACTAAAGCAATGTACCGTAAAAGTAAAGTGGCGAAACTTAATATCAATGACATAAAGCGACTACTTGACATGAAGTTTAAAAATAAATAATTAAAAATTAGGTCACCTTTAACCTACGGCGGCGCGGGACACGCATCACCGGAAGTTGTTAACAGTCTGCAGCTGCGGCTTTTGCTTCCAGACCTGTAGCGCTACATCTTTTATTGTTATTTTTATTCTAGTTCAGTTTGTTTCATGTACACTTCACCGAGGGCACTGGCAAAGAAGTGGAATCTGAAGGGCAGGGAGATGCATTTTCAAACGGTACACGTGAGCTACGATCGTGACCACGCTGCAAAAGTTCGTCCCATGCCTCTGCGTCAGGTCTCTTCGAAGGTAGGCAATGATTTGCTTTTCACAAACTTTTGAGTCGACGTTATTCTGTTTCGTGGATTTTAGGATCCGTTTCTGTGTAAGTGAGTGCGTATGCGCCCGCGTGCCGTAACGGGTCGATCGCGGGAGGTTGATTGATCGAAGCGTAAATCTTTGGTCACAAAATGTTGGGCGCCCCTGAAAGTCAAGTAACTGGAAGCAAAGCAAAATGAAAAGTGAACCAAAATAAACAGAGTGAGGCAAAGCAATGTTGCGAGTGGAAACAAACCGGCAACAGCAGAAGCCTGTTGGAAGCATTTCAAGTCCAACGCAAGAAAAACACTTAACACAGAAGAGAGTGGGTGGGAGGTGGGGGAGTCAGAGGAAGGGATGTCCTTCCTTCTCTGACCCCTCAGTGTCCTCTACGAGTCTCTGTGTGCGTTCGTGCTGGCCGCAGCTGCTTGCCGATGTCACACTACTGCTTGCAACGAGCACATCACACAACACTTAACGCACGTCATGCCGCCGCCCTCCAGGAAATGTGTGTTTCCTTTTCTCTAATCTTCTCCTGTGCCCCATTAGCAGAACAAAGAAACATTTCACACACGCCTTTGCACCCAAAATATGTTTACTCCACTAGCGATCTGCTGCCTGCCAAAGTCAAGGCCTCTTTATCGTAAACGCAACAAGGGAAATTTGACAAGGATTTTTTTTTCCCCCCCGTCGGTTTGTTGGGGAGTGGCGATCCGTTCTGTTGTCCCGTACAACACATTGTAAAGTAACTAACATAAGTGGGGATGTTCGATACCACTTATTTTAATGTCATTTTATTTTTTTGAAGCAGAAGATGATCCATCAACGTGTCAAAAATATCGGTGGCTGGTATCGGCAGCCTCAACAAGTAGCCTACCCAATACGTTCAAATAAGATTCGGCCCAATACGATAACTGTAATCGGTACTCGTCCATTCGTAAATGTTAGGTGAACTAAAGTTTCGGCCCAATACGATAACTGTAATCGGTACTCGTCGGTCCATTCGTAAATGTCAGGTGAACTAAAGCAGTTTCGGCTAAACTAACTAATGCTAACATCAATAAATAGCAAATTATATCACTTGATGGGATACTAAATTAGGACTTGGAGATATGGTTGAAATGTGTCTCACAATTTCAGGATTTCACATCAGTCGATATCAAAAATCGATATCGGCTGATTATCAAAAATGATAGATTTTTTTTTCTAAATAAGAAACAGTATTAAATGGTTTAAAGTCAAACTAGCATAAAACACCACACAAAAAAAAACGTAAGTAAAACGAATTTTGAAGGAATGTACACTGCAGTGTGCTATGTTGTATTCGGTGCTCTGCAGGGAGGTGGACGGGCGAACTCCCAAACTACTGTGCCACCTTCATTGAGCAATTGACTCGTTTTAATTGTTTTAATTAAGGATTCCTATCTTCTATTTTCGGTTTAATTCCTTGTGGCTTTATGATTTGTGCACTGTCATGCGCCACCGTCACATCTCGCACCGGGTAGATAGTACTGGACTGGAAACAGCCAGAAGCAAAAGAGTGAGTGCACCAGGAAGTCAAAACATCTGGAAGCGGTGACGCGCAGAAGACAATGATGACGGCGGAGGGGGAAGAATTCAGGCAGACATCTAAGTGCGCAGGGACAATTTTAGTTAATTAGAAACTTGTGTTTCCTCCAGAGCTTTCCCTCTCCTTGCCAGACTCGACTCCTTTTGCATGTGTGTGTGTGTGTGTGTCCGTGTGTGTCTGTGAAAGGCCGCTGTCATCATGCTCTCGCTTCCTGCAAATTCCAGGCCAGGCCACAAGCCGAGGCGTGCATGAGAGTGTGTGGCCGGCTCCTTTTAATGGTTTCCTCTCAGGAACCAGACCTTTTTGACTCATTGCTCTCTGTTTCGTCAGCTCTCTTCCCTTTCCCACCAATTTTTGTGTGTGTGTGTGTGTGTGTGTGTGTGTGTGTGTGTGTGTGTGTGTGTGGGTGTGTGTGTGCGCGTGTGTGTGTGTGTGCGCGTGTGTGTGTGTGTGCGCGTGCGCGTGTGTGTCCAAGAATAGTTATTTTCCTATACAGTGGTACCTTTACTTACGAAATGAATTGGTTCTGGAAGAAATGTCTTAACTAGAACATTTTGTAAGTTGAGACGCTTTTTCCATGTTAATGCCCTAAATCCGTTCCAAGCCCTCCCAAAATTCAGACACAAATGTTTTATAAAGCATAAAAATGCATCAAAATATTTAACAAATACATGTTACGATTAGATCATTGCACAATGAATGAGAGTTGTGCATAATGTAAAAAACAAAGAATAGAGTTAAGAATAAAAATGATGGTCATTTAACTTTTAACTGAGTCCTCGTCGTTTTTTTTCCTTTTGTCATGGAAAATTGGCACCTGCAATTTTGCCAATTGCTTGTCCTCTACTTGTCTTGTCCAAAAGCCAATTTTTACCACTCCGAGTATATTTAGAGTCGACAATTTGAGTGATGGCAGTAATGGGTTCACATTTTGCAAGTGCATTATCCGTGTTTTTCAGATATGTGTTTGTGAGGGTGTTGGCATGACAGATAATGCCTGTTTTTTTTTTTTTTGTTAGCATCCACTTTTAGACACATCTTCAAAGGCGTGTTTTTTTTTTTTACCCTTCAAAAGACACCAAGCTTTCCCCAGTTTTTAGTTTAATTCTGTACAAAGGGTGCCTAGCTAGATTGACTTTACGTTGTACATTTCAGTTGTATTTCGCTTCTAAGTACATTACATTTGTAGTTAATCTTTTAGATCTGTGTCCTATTTTGGATTAATATTCCCATCCATCCTCTATCAGTCGTTTCAGATGTGCTACATGCTGGTTGTGGCGACGAAACCCAGATGGCTTTCAGGCCATTTTTTTTTTAACCTTTTAAATACAGATGAGTCAAAAGTGCGGCCGTCCTGCTGTTGATTTGCGAGTGTGTCGGTGAACCACACAAAGAAAGTGTTAGCATGTGGAAACACCCCAACTATTTATAGGGTCTCACACTCATCAGGGGGGTTCAGCGACTTTGTGGAAAGATCATCGAAGATTATCACACATCCTGTAATGTGTGTACACACACACACACACAGATACACAGATAAGTTGCTCGTGTTTTTTTTTTTTTTTTGTATGTGCCAGCTGCAGAGGAAGTTTCAGTGCTCACACAACAGAAATTACCGTACCAAATTCAACATGAAAAACATTTTGCGTTGCTACGGTATTGATTCATGAGTCATAAGATTTCACAAACCGTGTTGTCAGAATATTTTTGGATGACTATTTTGGATATGGGCGGCGGGAAATTACAACATTATAGATATAATGTGCACACAAAATGTTGATATCCGACTCAGTAAATGGAGCCCACCTTTTTTTACCCAACTGTCCAGCAATTATATTAACAGCATTATTTGTAAAAAATGACTTGGAAAAAATAATTTGAACGGATTAATGACATTTCCATTGATTTCAATGGGAACAGATGATTTTCAATACATGTGTTGCTCCATTATGGTTACAATGAGCTTTTCACTAGGCTCGTGAGACTTTCTTCACACAGAGGCGCAACATGTCCACAACCTTGACTATATGCTGAAGCACCTACAATACGAGCCTATTAATCCATTAATGTTCTCCGCTACTGGGAGGACTCTGCTGACTGGACTAAATAATGCACAGCTTGAATAGCAGATGGCCAAAAGCCAGCCATGTGGGGAA